AGTCGAGCCATACGCTGCCGAGTGCTCACTCAAGGTTACCCAGCTCATAATCCTTGATCAGACTGTCACATGGCCTTTGGACGATCCTTAAAAACATGAGCTTGGCATCATCTGTCACGCCCAGGGACTTGGGTTGTGGAAATTCCCCATCCGCATTAGTCGGATACGACATCATGATCTGACTTCGAGTTCCTTCATGAAATGGGACACGCGCGGCTCGTTTGATCCGCAACCGCCTGATCAAACGACCTGAACATTCTGCTGGCTCTCGAGTCCAAAACCATCGTCGAAAAGGCGTCAAGTCTTAGTGTTTCCGGGAAATAAACTTCTGTCAACTCCCAGACCAGTTCGTCCTGAGATTGCCTGCACAAGACAACCGCGAACACGGCAGCCTATTTGCTGAAGGCCGTACTCTGTACCTGATTGAGAGCACGAACAAGCTTCAACTCCGCTCGGCTTCCACCAATTTCTCGCTCATTGCACTATGGCTCCTAGCCATTCCTTCGGCCTCGTTTTGAGAGCTTCTCGAGTCCATCGCTGGAGCAACGAAACAGGCACAGGCTTCAACAGCTCGTGGTGGAAATAACGTCGCGTACTAGCACCTGGCCGCTGCTCGGCATTCCACCACTTGAACCCTGGTCTGGGGCAATTCGTCGCGTGCCTACACTCTTGCCGGTCTAATTACTTTGCAGCAGGTGGTGATGGGTCTAGGCTTGACCATCAGCTGATTCCGATAATGAGATGCCGACTTTCAAAATCTCATCGACTCGGTCAATTCGATGCGCTATCGCATCTGCCCGAGCATCGGTCCTCAAGAACACAATGCTTCCGATGTGTCATCGGCTGTCAACCTGGGCATGGACCAGTCTAACACAAGGTATCAGAAACCCCGAACGTGGCTTGATTGATCGAGACCCAAGTTCCGCCCTGATAGTCTTCGCCAACTGCATTCCAACGAACAGCCTCTACATGCTCGAGCCAGCTGAGAGTTGGTTGAATACCACTTACCCGTTGACTGTTATCTATCGCAAGTGCCAGTGTCCTGCCGGGTCAATGAACAAAATCCCGGTCTCCTTGATGGCACGGGTAACGACATCATGCCCACGAATGGCAGGTCGGACAAGGAAATGGCGGCGCTGGGTCCATCCACTCCGATCCGGCTCCGAATAATTACATCCTTATGTGAGGTCGGGGCTCGGAACGATAGGTCGCGTCGACGGTCGAGTGCACCAAGTTCTCACCCAATGGCTGGACCAACCTTCTTTTGAATGCGTGCAGCGGTGGCGTCACAAAGCGTTCCGTCTGCCAACAAGCACGGCTTCTGGGACGGTCGTCTGGAGGTTATGTGCGGCAGTTTGCGCGCCGCCCAGCAGCATCCTGTACGGAGGTGTAGCTGCATGGCCAAGCCGCATGATATGGCAAGACAGCCCTTCGTAAAGCGCGACCCAGGGTTACATGGAGTGCGATACGAGGACGAGACATGCAGACGCCCAGCAGACTACGGTAGGCGGGCCTCGCAACCCGCAGAAGCACATTGCTCATTGCCGAGACTCACGTCGCTCTTGTTTCGTCTTGAAGACCGGCCACCTCGAAGGATGCCGCGCGGAGCGGTCTGTTTGTCTTGTCCTGTCGTCGGGGGAGATAACGGACGAGAAGACATGGGAGGAAAAAGCAAGCAAAGACAAGACAGCCCAGGGCTTCGCTGCCGGCGCCTTTGGATGGCACGCGAGTTGCGCACATCATGGCGGCAATATGTCCATCGGCCGAGACAGGAGGACCCGGCCTGGTACGTGTCGAGATTGGACGAAGCTACTGACCGAAGATCGCATTCAGAGAGCCCATCGTCCGGGGGCCGGAGTTGCGAGTGCGGTTTTGCGGTGGAAGACAGGACCCTTGCCCGACCCGACAAAGGCTCGCCATGCCACCGGGCGGCGGGGATCAACAACCCCTGAAAGACTGGCTCTAATGCGGGAATTTGGAAATCGAGGGAGAAGCAAAGCGACCGGCCAGGGCCAGCTTTCATCTCATGACCACGAGATGCCCCGTTTCTACACGCGCGCGTGCTCAGAATCCGCCGTCGTCGAGAGCGAAACTCCCCATCACTGAGATTTGCTTATTAGTAGATGGATTAATTGTGCCTCTGAGACAACCGGCGAGCCCCAAACCAGGCTAACCCGCTTGATGGCTGGGAACTACGAGAAGCCGACAACCGTGCTCCGGAGTTCGTTCATAAAGCCATCCAGCTCTTTTCTGGGGTTGAACTCTTCAAGGAGATGGACGGGAGGTGCGAGGCGCAACACGGGCGTTGAGAACGTGGCATCGTCCACCGCCGCTCACAACATGCACAAAACATGCGCCGAGGTCAGAACTACCATGTACGAATACACTGTAAATGACAGTGGCATCGGCAGCGCCATGAGCAAGCAGAGCACCACACATAGCCGGCACATCACACATCATGAGCCAAGAGTTCATCGGACTTGTCAAGGAGCTTGTGTGCTGCCCTTCCTCGCCTCGCATCATTCTGCACAAGCTGCTTCTAGCCCTTCTACCAGCGTCGCTGACAGCCTTGAAGGGTGAGTGAGTACTCACGCTACGGATGCAGCAGATTGGCCTACCTCGCATCTTCCACACCACGATCACCACGTTGAATCACACCAAGGGAATTATTTGCTTTTTCCTTCTCGTGCAGTAGTTGCAGGAGCACCAGCGCCATGGCCCTCTTCTCTCTTCCTTCCTTCCATCCAGTGATCGAGAGGATTCGAGGAGGATGGCTGTCAAGGGTCAAGTGCCGCAGCGCCACCAATGTCTGAGATGAAGCTGTAGACTTGTTCGTACTATAGTACTTGGAAGAGGAGCCGGCCACAAGTCCAACCGCCTCCCAACCGACGACTTCCAACTCCGTGTGGTGTCGGTGAAGCGCGTGAACGCCCGGAGAGTGTGTCCCAAAGCGGCATCCGACCATTTTCCATTGCAACTCGACCAACCAACAAGGACGTTCAACGATCCCTTTGGTCCTGGGAACTATTCCCAGTTGGTTCGTTGATCTGTCCATCTGCTAAGACAAGGGTCAAGCACCAGGAAGGCATGTTACCTTACTTTCCCCCCTCAACCGTGGTTTAAGTCGTCTCTGTATGTCACGATCTTGATCGATTTCGGAATGGTGAACCTTTCTCTCTTCCACCTCTGGCCATGTCCCCAGCACCCCTTCATGCACGTTACTCGCCCAGCGTAGCATACTACACCACGCTGCGAGAATTAATTAAATCACATTGTCCTAGCACGGCAACTCGGTTCACAGCAGTCGCCAGTCACAAGCGCGAGGGGCCTTCGGCCGCTATCGATTGGACCAAGGGAAAAATCAGAATAGCCCCGGAGGCATGTAAGTTTGATAGCTTCTCTCATGCGCCGCGTGCCCGCCGACGCAGAGCGAGCTAGACGGTGCCCCGAGTTGCCCGTCCTCCACCCCCTCATCCATGAATACCTTACGGAGTACCTGGGCTCATACCGGAGCATGGCAAAGGTTCCTGGCGGCGCAATTCCCAACCCCCACCTGCTTTAAGTCACTAATCCAACGCGTGAGATGGATGGAATTAAAGCCTCTGTCTCCAACCAAAAGCCATAGTGCTGGGCTCCAACCTCGAGCAAGCATCAGCCATCAGCCATCACACACACACAAACCACGGAGAGGAATCCCCAATCCGCCCAGAACCAGACCATGACCAGACTTAGCCAAAGTTGTCTGAAATGTTACCATGGAGCGCTCGTTCTTCAAGACATCCGTGACCCCCCTTGCGGTTCTTAATTCTTCACCTTCCCACACAAACAATCCAATTTTGGCTCTTTTGTCTCTGTCTTGTCTCTGTCTTGTCTCTGCCTCTTCCTACTCCTTTGGGTTCTCGACCACTCGGACCTGGCGCATTCTCAGTCATTGTCTCTCCCCTTCGCCATCCTCATCCAGATCCATCAGAGTCAGCATCGTCCGTTCTCGCGCCCAGCAATAAACATTCAAACCATATAAGCAAACAACTTTTTTATTTCCCGCCGTCATAACCCTCCCCTCCTCCCTCCCTACGTCCCTCCCTCCCAATCCGTCGTCCCAAAAGGCGCATACCGAGGAGGAGGAACGGAGCCAGCCTTGGCGCGGACGTCTGAAAAGTGCTGCTTGCTTCCCCGTGAGGTACATATTGTCTGGGACCCTGCCGGACTAAAAAGAAGCACCAAAGCAAGAAAGACGCACACCACCCACGACGCTCACCTCACCTTGCATCTGCGCAGTGCCCATCTTGGCCCTTGGTGCTTCCCACACCTCGCCTTATCAAGCCTGCGCCGCACGCAGACACGCAGACTCGCAGCGCAGTGCAGCAGACGGTGCCTTACACCAAGCGAACAGCCGACAGGACACACAGGACCCCCCGGGCGCGGGAGACGGAAAGGAAGAGAGCCAAAATCACCGCCAGCGCGAGGGAGAGTGACAGAGTTTCGACCCACACCCCATCCATCATCCATCGACGAGCACGAGGGACTCGGTTGATTGACCTGACCTGCTTCTGATTGCCCGCTCGGCTTCTGCGTCCGTCGTATGACATATACATAGCCCACCGGTCCCAAGACCGCAGTTGGGGATTTCCAGGGCCAGCTTCTACCATTCCAGGGCAGTTCAGTCACTTACGCATTTCGCCGGTCCCATATCCAGTCACGTCAACCGATGTGACATAGCGGAGAAATCCCTGTTCTACGAAACCTAGATCTCGCTGCTTATTTTCGACCGTCAACCCACCTTCTTCGTCGACAGACGCTTGATAAGAGAACTGCACTCCAACTCGCGACAAAAAGCGACAGAAAATACGAGCAACCCTCGACATCATACGCAGATTCTACACATACAGCAGACACAGCACCTGTTCTGGCGTTCTCAGACTCGGGATCTGGAAAAGAAAAACGGCCAACACACCAGATCATCTCAAAAGTCCCGAGTGGGGTACTTGCACGTCATCGACATGTTATACAACATGAGCTATCCTCACGATCACCCGGGGGCGCCGCAGCCGGCGGTAGCGGGGCAGCAACCCTTCAAATCCACCCTCGCAGCGGCCGCCCCCGGTGGCGTCGCCCGGCCGAAACAACGGTGCTCTCAGCCGATGCCCTTCGATCCGGAGGAACTTTCCCAGAAACTCAACAAAGTAATTGCAGACCGCCAACTTTACGCCGAGAGGAGACGCAGGGCCAGGGCCGACGTCGCTGCTGCTACCGCCGCGGGCGTCGGACCGCAGTGCCCGACTCAACCACCACACACCAGCATGGCAAGGGAATGCCTCGATCAGGGCTCTCTCAAGCCCGGCCGAAGCCACTCCATCCTCAGTCCCTTGAGACCGCGCACCGAGCCCATTGCGAGGAAGCCGGTGCCACCCAGGGAAAGACCAGATACCAGCGCCGCGCGGCCCAAGTCCAAGATGTCCGACGACAGCCAGAGCTCCAAGTCGAAGGATTCATCCAAGCGCAAGGGCTCGGGTGAGAAGCATCACTACATTCCGCAGTTCGCCGCCTCGCAGTTTACGCGCACCACCACCACTGCGGACAACATGCCGGAGGGCAAGGGTCTCGTTCACAAGCTCTCCCGGACAGCCCTGAGAATCGCGCAGGCCCATCGGGAGAGACATCAACAAGAGCGCAACAACTTTTACTCGGACCGTGTACCAGAGACGACGGAAGAAGCCAGTAAGAACGATCGTGCGCATCGGGACAAGAACCACCACCGACATACCATCGAGGTCGCTCCCGCCGGTCGCAATGAAGACCATCAGGCGAGAGCCGCGAGGCGCGCCAGCACAGGGGCAGATGTGCTGCTGACGTGGGACTCTGACGCATCTTCGCCGAATCCCTACGGCCATGACAACCCTGACGTAGCGGATCACGACCCCAACGAGCATCGCGTTGACTGGACCCAGAGCGATGAGGCCCCACGACAGCAGCCGCAACCCCGACGGCAAAAGTCCAGGCCGTCGCTGCGCAAGGCGGATTCTCTCTGGGCTCTGAAGAACAAGTTGGGCTCTTTCACCAAGCACAGGTCAGAAGACCAGCAGCAACGATCCAGAGACGGCAGCCCGCCGTCCTCTGACAGCACGCCGAGGTCGCCCAAGAGCGGGTTCTTTGCGCGGTTCAAGGTCACCCACTGATCGATGCTCAGAACCAAGTTTGGGGGGGTATCATCCAACGTTATTAATACATGAACGTGTTTCGGCGTGCCCACATCATACAGGTGTGCTCAATCCAAGCCAGCGACACCATGTTATGAAGGCGTTCAGCCTCGCTCACCGATCCTCGGCCATCAGCCGCCTGATCAGCTCGGTATCCCTCTCCGCCGCACTCTTCCTGATCGCCTCTTCCGCAGCAGCATCCTCGTCCTTGGAGACAAGATGGTTGATGAGCTCAATGTACTCCCTGACCCCCTCGCCTTCCTCCCCCGCCGCGTTCCTCGCCTTTCGCAAAGCCTCTTTGCCCTTGCGGATCCCAACGTCGTGCGTCCACTGCTCCTTCTTGGGGTTGGCAGCGGCCATGGCCTTCGCCTTCATCATGTCGTTCAAGCTGCTACCCGTCCCCTGCAACTCTGGCGGCGGCTCGGTGGCGGCGAGGATGTCGAGAAGGCGCGACCGCAGATTCGGGTAGCGCTTGAAGAGGTAGCGCAGCTGGTCGGAATCGTCCAGTACGCTGAAGGGGTTATTCGGGTCGCGCGCTTTCGCCTTCACGTTCGCCTCGGGAGGTTCGGCCGCGGCCGGGGTCCTGGGGGCGGGCTCGGGGTCTGGCGGGTGGTTCTCGCGGTGAATCTTATTACACGGCACCGAGCAACTAATTTCATACCAGTAATGTTAGTAAATAATGTATATCACACAATGGGGGAAATGCATAACGAGAACGAAATATATCCAAGAGAATACAATACGTACAAAGGCAGAGAACATCGTGTGCACTTGTACTTTCCCTCCTTCTCGTTGCAGATGCCGCACATCTTGGTTTTTGGCAGGGCTTTCGTCTCGGGCTCGTCTTGGGCTGCTTGTGTCGTTTGTTGTGGTGCTGCCCTGGTTTCTGGTTCTTTTTGCGTGGGATTCTCAGGTCTGGTCATCTCGCCCCGGGCTCCGCCGTCAGTTGCAGTCTCGATGGTTGTAGCAACTGTCTGCTCGGCTTCCTCCGCGTCGGCCTCGTCTTGCCGGCCACCGCCATCCCCTGGACTCGCCGTCTTGGACCTCTTGCTTGCCGAGTCTGACAGCTTGTCCACTTCGTCCTGCGAGCGCTTCGAGGAGCGAGGGGAGAGTGGCGGGGGATCGTTATCGGCAGACATTGTGTATTGTAACCCAGAAGCCGCGGTGGGAAAGCTTTTTGTCCGGTCGTGATTGTACGATCGCGATATTGGGCGCACCGGGAGGGGATCCGGAGCTCAGTGCGTATTCGTGGAAAACTGCGGCTACGGTATCGGGCCGCGACCTCGAATGCTGAAGTAAACAAAGTGCTGACTTGGGGAGAGTTGGAGGCGGTTGGAAAGAAAAAAAATTATGGTTCGGTGTGGTTCATTCGGAGACTCAGCCGTTTCGTTCCCCGCGTTTTCTTATTTGTTCAGCTTCGCTCAACGTCGTTGCTGGTCTTCTTTTTTTTTCTGCCGCTCGCTCCTGATGTTCGAGAAATTTCAAGCGGGACCAAGCTCAGGCGGTCAACGCCCAAAGATTCACGCTAACCTTGACCGCCAAAGGCATTGGATACGGATACGCAGTACCTGGGCATTCATGGACCCTGGACACCATTCCTGATACCCCGCTAAATATTTGGTGTCATGTACCTCCCGGTAAGAAGTTGAGGTCCATTCTTCTTGTTCCCGCCGTTCGGTCGAGTCGGGGATTCTACGGACCATAAAAAAAAAGGTAGAAAGGTCAGGTGCCGGCCTCGGTCAGTAAGGAAAGGCTTACCTAGGTTTGCGTCATTGTTACTTTGACCCGCAGGACCCATGATTGGTAATACAACGCCTCGGAATTGAACGGCGAAAGAAAAAAAGATGGAGCCCGCCCGGCCCTGTCAAATCTATTTGCTCGAAAAGCCGATTTGTTTGCTGCATTTGCGCCCTGCGTAATGCCGAGGCGGCGATCCTGGGGGGGAATTTGTTTGTGCAGCAAACATACTAGCAGATTCAACAACAGTCATCGTTCCAATGTAAAACTTGCACCTCTCACATTATAAAACAGCCCGTTCACAACACACATAATTGTCGACGCCTCCGAGTACCTAAGCGACGATAACGACCGATTTCCACATACACACTTAGAAAATGTCTTCCTACAGAGCGACGAGGACAGCCCTCCGCGCTGTCGTGCGCTCCACGAAACCCCTCAGACCCGCGCCCGCCCAACAATCGAGGCATTTCGCGAGCCACCACCCGTCCTCCGGCCTGCCCGCAGCTGCCTCATCCGGCCTCCTCCAGCAGACTCGCCTGCCCCGCAGCCAGACACAGCAGCGGCAACAAAGACCATCGCCGTTCGCCGGGCGGCAGGGGGCGGTCCGCACCATCTTCATCCAGACGGAGTCGACGCCGAACCCGGACGCCATCAAGTTCCTGCCGAACCACCGCATCCTCCCCGAGACCATTTCGAGCCCCTTCATCGAGTACATGAACCCGCGCTCGACCATCGCGCCGCCGTACCCCTCGCCGCTGGCCGCCCAGCTGATGAACATTGACGGCGTCAAGTCCGTCTTCTACGGCGCCGACTTCATCACGGTGACCAAGGCCGCCGACGCCAACTGGGCGCACATCCGCCCCGAGATATTCGCCCTCATCACCGAGGCCATCACCTCCGGTCAGACGATCGTCAACGTGGCGGAGAAGAAAGAGGGCGCCGCGGCGGACGAGGCCGAGGAGGAGGACAGTCTCGCCTACGACGAGAACGACAGCGAGGTGGTCGGTATGATCAAGGAGCTGCTCGAGACGAGGATAAGACCCGCCATTCAGGAGGACGGTGGCGACATCGACTTCCGTGGGTTCACCGACGAGGGTGTCGTCTTGTTGAAGCTCCGCGGAGCATGCCGAACCTGCGACTCCAGTACCGCGACGTTGAAGAACGGCATCGAGAGCATGTTGATGCATTATGTGAGTCAATCTGTCATGTTACTGCGAGCTTCTGGCACGTTATCGTAGCATTTCGCTGACAGTATGATTAGATTGAGGAAGTCAAGGGTGTTCAGCAGATCATGGACGAGGAAGAAGAAATCGCCTTGAAGGAATTCGCCAAGTTCGAAGAGAAGCTGAAGGCTCAGAAGGGCGTCGAGGCAATTGCTTAATGGCTCGCAGTCATGGCTTTGAAGATGGTCTTTTGGGGGCGGGAAAAAGGACGGAAAAGGAGTATCGGAGGAGTAATGAACCCTATAGGAAAATGCTGTACCATTACACACACATCTAGAGTCGCTAGGCAAAGGCTGGTGACACACAATACCCATCACATCACTGTTCATCGCAGCCTTGCACGCACGCGTTCTTCAGCCTTGCCGGTGACACGCCTGACATCATCATCGGCGTCGTGTACGCGCCGTTTGGTTTGGCCAGCTCGTGTTCGGCAGGAGTTGGACCTTGCCAAGGCGTCTTTGGCTTCATCAGATAGACTCATGTTCCAGGGCGAGACCGGTCCAAGTGGTTGCAGTCGTGCACACACGGCCCCGCACCGCGCTGGCCAGATGAAGAATCAGACAACATCCGTAGACAAGGCAGGCAAAGATCGCCGTGCCCATATGGGCAACAGCGTTCGAGACCGTCGTCTTCGTCACAAATGTAAGGGTCGGCGGAGGATTTTCTGCTCGTTCGTGCTGATTGGGTTTCTCCAACCTGCGGCGGTAGGATCACTGCAGCGGATCAGGGCGGGGAGCCGGGAGACGTGGTCGCCGTGCAGGAACCCCTCAATTGTGAACCCCTCAGCTCCTGGGCGGGCATCCATCCCCACGTCTGGCGACCGGAGCGCACTCCTCCTCTCCTTTGGTTGTCCTTCCAAGCATCCGTGACCCGTCCAGTCCATGGGCAACGTCCGTCTTGTTTCCCTGACCTGTTGAATGTAGTGTACGAATACTTGGGCTCTTGGTCAAGTTTAGCTTCCTTGACTTCCGCTGATCTTGTGCCGCATCTCCTCATCATCATGCCAGTCTGCTGGGTGCATGCCTGTCCCGTCTCCGCACCGAGTACAACTAGATGATTCTGGCGAGCAATACCCGCCATTTCATCGAAGCTTTACTACATATCTCATAAAGGTCGTTTACGCGCGGTCGGCAGAAGAAATATGCAGAAGGCGACATATATATATGATGTATAAGTTGACTGCGGCAAACCTGCATGTTCAGACGTGGTACGGTTCTTGCTTCAGTTGGCCTGTTTGCAGTAGAGCTAATTAACAGATGCAGCTGTTGTTGGACGATGGCAGTCGCCGCTCAGACGCTTCCACGGTTTCTCGTTCCTCAGAAGCCGTTGCAGCAACACACTCGAGGTTGAGTTTAATGACGAGATGAGAATCCGGGGTAAAGGCCTGGCTGACTTTTGACTTTCGCCATCCATCGGTCTGGGGGGTATGTCGATCTGGAGTCCTGGCGGTGCGGTGCGGTGCGTCGCGTTTTGGCCCCATGCCAGGTGCTCGACATGGACGGCGCATAACGGGCAATACTTTCTCAGGGGGTTGGTATTCGTCGATATCTGGGCGTCCGACGTCTAGTTTCGAAAGGCGCGTGGTGCAGATCCGACCTTGCTGTGCCCTCTTCAGACAAGAGACAAGCTTGCGATCTCCGAGTTGCGGCTTAAGACTACCGTCCTCCACTCATTTGGACTGAGAAGTCTGCATACATCAGTGCGTCGATATGCAGGCGAATTCACCATCCAGGGTTGCATATCTCTCTTCAGTGCACGCTGGGCCGATGCATCGGTTGCCGGCAGTGCCCTCGCACACGGCCTTGAATATGACACCTCGTTCGACATATTGACCCTCCAAAACGTGCTATATGTCAGAAGTCTGGATGATGCCACAGTGAGGTCAGTGAGACAAAGGCCCAATCGAGGAAGGACATCTGCAGAATGAAAGAGGTTAGTTGGAGATGGGTGCGCGTGACCTGCTGCAGCAGCCCGCCTGGCCCACGGATCCTTGACCCCTTCAGTCTCGGAGAACTGCCCTGTACCCAGACCTCTCGACTCCAAACCTTCTGCCCGCGTCTGCACATGCACGCTTAGCAGGACTCTAGTGGCTCATCCTTTCGATGTCAAAAATGCCACGCTCTTGATTCGATTCTTGGGGCGGATATCCTTGAGTTAACGAAGTCCAACATAGGCTCGCGTGATCTGCTAATGAGCAGCCCAATCGACAGCGGAAGCCGTCCTGCTCGTCGAAAAAAAGAGGAATGTAGTTGACCCTCCCCATCCAAGAGCGCCGCCAAGGGGGACCGTTGAGGAGGGATACCCTCGCATGTTCGAGCTGGAACCCACGGACGTTCAAGGGACATGGATCTGATGCGGGGTGTTGGATGGAAGCCATTGGGCAGTTCCCAGCTGCAGATTTCCGAACACAATTGCAGCCCCCCCACGGCAGAAACAAGAGATTCGCAAGGAGCGGCCCTGCAAGACTGGGCAGCGGCTACCGCAGTGTTCGCAGGTAGGAGGCGAATGGCGACGTGTGCGTCAGGTAGCGTTCAAGAAACAAACGTGTTTGGATCGATACGCCGTCTCAGGGCGACGTGTAAAGGTGGGGGAGACCCTACAACGGCGAGGGTGCATGGCCGCACCATGAACGGACGATGCAAACAAGGGACTCGTCCTTTAGACTGAGTGTTGTGGGAGTTTAGAAGTTTGGCGATGATGTGTATCTGGATGCTTCTCTGCGCAGTGCTGTGTACACAACTGACCGAAGGTGGACTCGGCCAAGGGTCGATCGAGGGGCAAGGGCAGCTAAGGTTGGAGGATCGACGATGGACGAATGGGCTCCGCCTGTTGCAGCCGCATTTAGGTCAGATGCCCACTCATGCCGGGAGGCTGAGGGAAAGCATGCAAGAGTTGAGCTGCAAGACTGACGGCATCTTCGGCGCCATTCATAGGGTACCCGTGTGGTGGTGTATTTGTTGGTTGACGTTCTCATTCAAAGAGCTTGTCGAATGTCGAGTTTGTCACAACGCCAGTTATGTCCGGTCAAGCTGCCCTTGCTTCGATGTGAAGTGTTGTCAAGCCGGTACAAGTAACGAATGACGGGTGTCGGACGGAGGTTGTAGATGCAAGCTCGTCGGTGGACGCCGCAACGGCAGCAGGCTGGAGTAGACCGGTGCTCGGCTGGGGTACATGAACGTACCGCAGTCGCAGTATCTTAGGTAGCATGCAGTCGTATCACAGCAACCTCCTGCCTGCAGGCGGCATGTCGTTTTGAAAGTTGTGAGTAGGATGATAGAGCGGTTGAAAAGCCAGGGGCTGTCTTTGAAATCGGAAGAATCCCATCCCGCCTACTGATGACGGGAAGGAGCCTCGCGGGGAACACGGTAATCCGCGTTGCTGCTGAAGGTTCTTACTTGTCGAATTCGGTCTTGGCCAGGAAGTGAACAGAAACAGAGACGTCTGAAGAGGGTGTTGAAGAGCGAGAAAACCCGTCCGTGTAGATGGAAAATTGTCAGTGGCTTTTCGTCGTTCCTCTTCATCTGGCGTCGTTCAACCTGGAAGTGTTCTGGCTTGTTTCCCCGCTTCTTTCCTTCTTGGTACCTTTACCTATGGAATTCAAGATTCCTGCCGTGGAGAGATTCATGAAAGGGGGGGAGGGACGGTCTAAGGTGATTGGTTAGTCTGATATGGACGGCCCCACTATCCAGCACCCCTGAGCCCTGCACCGACAGGCGAGGCCTAGCCTGGCTAGCCCGGCTGTGACTGGCAGTGGCACAGGACATGAAGCGGGTCTACACCTGGAGAAAGTGTGGGGAACAGGAACGACCAGTGTGATGCTGGAAGCTCGGGTACGTACCTGTACTGCCTAGCCTAACTCCACATGGAACGCCAGGCGGGCACTTTGCTTGCACTGTACGGATACTTCAGTACAGAATTCACAGTAGACAGGCTCGACTTGACTGAGGTAAGCAATTTTAGCTGAGCTTGTCCGAGGTTTACTCGTTCCCGTCGTATATGGCAATTATTTGGCGGTTGATATTTCATTAATGCAGAAACGCTAATTGGCCGACTTGTGCTGGCCGTCTGTCTGCCTCCCTCCTTTTCGAACGTCTCAATATCAATCAACAAGCACTCGCAGTTCTCGAGTCCCGTCCGGCCTTCCATTGCCAATCGAATCGCGCAACCCTCATCCCATTTGCCTTTTTGCACCTCGTTCCAAAGCGGCCCTGGAAGATGCGCCACACCACCCAGAGCCATAGCGGCAAATCTTGGATAACTTCCTCCCATCTTTCCTCTCCCACTTGCGCTACGCCTGGACGTGGACTCTTCTGGCTTCCGCCTCCCGCTGCGTGACCCTCACCAAAAGGTTCTTCCATATTTTTGCCTCGCCTCTCCCCCACTGTCTCGTCTCCCCTTCGGCTTCTCGCTGCTTTCTGCTTCACACCCTCTCGCAAAGCAGTTCGAGCCATTCAGCGTCGTTAGACAAGGAAGGGGAACCCTTAACAGTGCCATCCTTACCTGAAGTGACCTAGCTGCCGTGTCTACTATAGTACCGCAATGATTTGGGATGCTTCGAGTCTTTTCCCCAGACGCTCGTTGCTGAGACTTGACGTTGTGCGATTTGATGAGGTGGTTTGGCCACTGACTGGCCAGTCTCTGACGCAACTCGGGGTTTTTTAATCTTTTGCGCTGCCCAGGGGTTCCAGGCCGTCCGGTTCTCCAGGACAACCAGCCAGTCCGTGTTTGTCGAATCTTCAGACATCCGCCGTATCGTTTTTACGACTGCCGCTGCTGTTGCTCTGCTTCTCCGCATCAACCGAATCCCGCCGTGGAGACGGGAGAAAGCTGCGAGCGCAGTTGGTTTTGGGGTGAGGTAGCTTAGGTACCTCAATTAATGAATATGAATGAAAGTACTGATTTCGTGTCGGTACCTGAGCATTTGCAGAGGTAGGTATCATTTTCTGCGCAGGAAGCTCGTCTGCATCGCGTCTGCATCGCGTCTGCATCGCGTCTCGCGTCTCCAGTCTCCTTACTCCCCTCTGGTCACCATCAAACAACCCGTACGCAGACGCAGACGCAGACGCATACCCATACCCATACGCATGACCACGCTACCTTGCCATCCAACTGCCCACAAGCTGCATAGGAGTATATCGCATAGCTACCTTAGCTGGCAGCTACCCACGCTCACGCTCTACTTGGACCTTTGCCTGGCCCTAGCTCAAGGTGCAGATAGTACCTTAGCTGCCTCAGTACCTACCTACCTACGGTAGAGGTGGGTAGGTAGGTAGGTAAGGTAGTCGACGATTCCCATCAGCTTTCGCGTCTACGAATACCCTACCCCATCCTGCCCCTCTCCTCTTACCAGCAGCACTTTGCTTTTCTTTCCTTTTATTTCCCCTCTCCTTCTCCTTCTTCTCCATTTCAGAAGCAGCACATCGCCGTTGTGCTTCATCGTTCCGAAGCGTTCCCACTCTCCCGTACGATGATCAACTGGGACCTGCCCACTCGTCCACTCCACCGATATTAGTCGATTCGATCCACTGCCCGCGTCCACCCGCGCACATTCCCGTCCACGTCCCTGACAATCCGCCCGCCTGCCTTCCTAGGCTCCGTGCCGTGCCACCTTCACCTTGGGTTCTTAGGCCAGCCGGGGCATAGTGCATAGTGCTACTCGGACTGCTGTACCTACCTAAGGTACGGACAGCGTAGTGCCTGCCTCTGGTATTCGTACAGTGAGGTGTGCATGGTGTGCGTGGCTTGAAGCGCACGCAGCCCGTACCGCCGACGAGAGGACACAGACAGACAGAACGACAAGAAAGACAGAAAGACGCTTGGTTTGTTGGTTTGGTCTGGTTTGGATCGGGCTGGAATTGCTGTGCTGTCTCTTGACGCACTTTTGGGTTCGCCTCTACTTTGATTATTCTCCCGTCACTTACCTCATCTACCACTTTCACACTACCTGGTACCTTGACTGCCTCTACCTCAATTACTTTGTCTCACGGCATCTCTCAACTCGATTTCTCTACTCTCTCTCTCTCTCGCTCTCTGTCTTCCCTCTCCACGTTTCCCGCCTTAGCCACCACAAGATACTCGCCTGACGCTGTTACCTGACGTCTCAGGCGCTTGTGTCGTCGGGTAACTTGCCACCTACAGAGATACCTCGATACCTACATCCTCTCTCGCCTTACCTACCTACACTTGGCGGGAAGAGTGCCTACCAACCCTGGTTCTTGCTACTGGTGCTGGTGCTGGTGCTGGTGCTGGCTCTGCTGGCCCTACGGATACTCTATTCCATTACCTACCCCGGACCGGACCCTTCCAGAGGTACGCACCAGCCACTTGGACAAGCTCTGGTCTCGTGTCGCAACGTCTTCTCCTCCCCCGCTTCCGTCGACGTACTACCAGACAACCTCTTCCCATCGCCTTCTCAAACCTCTCCAACACATCTCTCGGCCGTTCCCCTTCTTCTCCTCTCTACCTACTGCTGTTGCTTCTCCTTCCTCCGCCAGGACCACCGCTACCGAGGCCAAAGGATCGAGAGCGCCGCCCAAGACATATTTTTCTCTTCCTTTCCTCAACTAACCCATCACTTCACCACATTTATCACGTACCTACCGCACGCATCCCACTTTTGCGATCGCTCCACGCGCCAACAATGGGATGCGCGTAGCTCCTCTGTCTCTGTCGCATTACTTCTCCTCCACCAACGAACGAACGACACTGCATCTCGCTTCTCACCTTGGACGGCACGCGAGCTCGCTCACGCACCTTACCCTTCGACCAAAGCGATATTGCTGCGCAAACCCGTCAGACAAAACGTTGATTTTCTTTTGGGCTCGGGCATCTGGGTTAGACGAACTGGTTTAGACGACTTTCGCGCCTTTTTTTATCGGTTCTCGTTTCGCGCGCGCGCCATAATCAACCTCCTGTACTTTCCTACCTCGAGTCGAGTCTCATACGACATATTTCCCGGACGCATCTACCACAGCAGCTCACGCTCAAGCTTGCTCACGCCCAAGCTCACCGCACCGCGCCGCCTTCCATCGCCAGCGCAGCGCAGCGCAGCCACCACAGCTGTCAGTCAACCTTGACTCGGCCAGCTCAAGCTAAAGTTCTAGCTCGACCACTGTCACGACCCAGACACCGCGCAGCACATCGCGCCACATTTTCTCATCACATCTCGCTGCTTCAACCAAATAACCTGGTTCTCGACATCTAGACGTTGCGCCTTTTGATACCCTGTCGATAGATCTATCCGGAATCCCGCCGTCTGGTACGTACCTGTTTTCACTCGTCTGCTGTACGAATCACACACTCCATGTTGCAAGGCTGCTGCTGCTGCTGCTGCTGCTGCTGCTAGGCGGCAAATCCTCCGAGAGACCACACTCCACCGCACTTGTTGGTCCAGACACGCGCCGCCATCGTCAGTCTGTCTGGCCGACTGCCTTGCCTGTCCTGCCTTACCTTGCCTGTGTCACCAGCTCCACCTCGGCTCAACTCACCTTACACCGAGCAGCTCTCAGTGGTCATTTTCAAATACTCAGCGTTTCTTCACTCATCCCGGTCGTCTAGACCAGCCTTTGAATATCTCTGGCTCGGACCTCGTGGCGCATTCCAATTGCTCAACGCGGGTGACTGAATGCCAGCTTGGACCCCCCGCCGAGCTGAGCCGCAGCTCCCGTGACACCCCAAGCTGGTTGCGGCGAAACTCGGCTCTTTCATCTTGTCTTACAGCGCTTGCAGTTAACGTTCGATGACATCGCTGCTAACACATCGTCTAGGCTTACTCGGCTTGTACCGTCTTTTCATCTTCTTTCAACCACGTCCGGTCGAATCAGGTTTCTCTCGTTATCTCACCATCCTCATTATTTGTTTCAAGACATTGTTCTTGCGACATTCAGACTCTTAGGGGCCTGAGTTTTTGCAAAACCCGGAGCCAGAGGTGGTTCTAGCGTTTGAGATTTGCTCGGTAGAAGCGTTAGGACAATGAGCTCTGGCGGAGGTGCTAGCACCGCCAAACCCGGCCCGCACTCCAAACCGGGCCAGGGCACCTTCTCAGCGGTCGCTCCGAGTAGCCACTCCATCCTGCTCGACAAGCTCAACCGCCGGTCGACTCCCGATTCTGAGGCTCTCGCGAGCTCAGACGATGAGGCAGACGCTCATCGGCAAGAACCCCCTCAGCCTGTTTCGCAGCCTCAGAAGCCGGTCAGGCGCGCGTCCTGGCTAAACGATACCACGCAACCTCTACCGCGTCCGCGCAAGGGCTCTTTCGCCAGCAGTTCCATGTCTCCCACGGCATCTCACCCCAGCACCCCTTCGGCGGAAGGAAACGCGCCTTGGGGCTCACATTCTCAGTCTTCCGGCGTCATTGGTCGTGCTCCTGTTGCCGGATCTACGTTTGCTTGGGGTACCGGTATCTGGAACAACGACAGGAAGGATCCACCTTCCCGCCTGAGTGAGGTTTTACCGTCGCCTACCTCGACCATGCCTCCTGGTTCTGCTGGTGGCTCTTTCTTCAACGAGAATAGTTTCGGACAGACATCACCTGCACCAAGAGATTCCGGTCCCAATGCCCAGATTCCGTTCGCGATTCCCTTGCACCCGACACCCAAGACTTACCGTTCTCAGTCTTACTCGGTTGGACAGTTGGAACCCGACGCCCCTCCTGCATCGATGAGCAACTCGACAATCCTCGGTCGCGGCCGTGCTCATGGTCATTCTGGTCTGCAGCATCGTCCGTCCCGGCCTAGCATGCTGAGCGAGATGTCGAATGACGGGGGACTGCTCGGAAAGGTGAAGGAGGTTGACGATGACGACGATGAGAGTGCGACGGAATCTATGCAAGGGTCCATTCACCAGTCAGCTGAGGCGAAGACGATCGAGATGTTGGCTCGTGAAAACGCCATCCTGCGCCAGCAGCAGCAACAGCAGCAGCAGCAACAACAACAACAACAACAGCAGCAGCAGCAGCAGCAGCAGCAGCAATATCAGAACCGCCTTCGGCCGAGGGCATCGACTGGCGCCGCGTATGGGCTTGGCAACGGCTACGCTTTTCGAGAAACGGTTCCAGAGGAGTCTGAATATGCCATCGACGAGCTTGATGAGGCCGGTGATGGAGCTGACTTGGCGGCAAAGAGAGCCATGGGTCGCAGAATGAGTGAGTTTGGGGTATCTGCATTCCGCTCACCTTACGAGAACCGCAAGTTGGAGAATGTCAAGAAGGCGTACTGGCACAGCTCCCTTGGATTCGGAGGACCTGAGGGACAACAGAGCCGGAGACATTCTTTCGCAGACATCCCCACGCGTCAGGGGTCCATCAGTTCCATTAGTGAGACCGTCACCGGTCTAGACACACCCGTGGCGGAACAGCAACAACCTGTGGACTTCCCTGCGGGCTATGGCGAGAACCCCAATTATGGCAACACTGGTAAGTGTACCTTGCTCGAAGCAGCAGGACGAACAGGGCTAACCATCAAAATAGCTGCGTACTTCACCCCTAGCGGAGGCTTGCAAGCTCCTCCAGCTAGTATGTTCAGCAACCCTTTCCCGTCGCCGTATGCTCAGATGCATTCGTCGCCGTATGGGAACCGGGCGCCGTCGCCTCATCGTAACGTCTACGCCATGTCGCAACCGCGCCACAACCAGCTTCTCCACATTGTCTTGTTCAAGTGTGCCAGAGCAGATGTTTTTTACATCCAGGAGGGCACCGGTCTTACGGTCAAGCCCGGTGATCTCGTCATCGTCGAGGCTGATCGAGGAACCGACTTGGGAACAGTTGCGCGAGACAATGTTGACTGGCAAACAGCCAAGGAGTTGAAGGAGCACTACGCCGAAGAGCAGTACAAGTGGTTGATGATGTACTCGCAAAACGCTGCTGCAGCCCAGGATGGCACAGGCGCAGGCCTGATGGCAGCTGCAAATGGTCTTCAGGGTAGTGCCGTCGGCGGCATGGGTCCCCCCAATCAGCACCACATGCAAGAGCCGAATGCGGGAGAGCTCAAACCTAAATTGATCAAACGTCTTGCCCAGAGTCACGAGATTCATGCCTTGCGGGACAAGGAGGGCAACGAGGCCAAGGCCAAGCGGGTTTGCATGCAAAAAGTGAAGGAGCATGGGCTCAACATGGAAATTCTTGACGCTGAGTTCCAAATGTAAGTTGCCCATTGCACTACTTCGATTGCCATACTCACAAGCCGCAGGGATTGGAAGAAATTGACCTTCTACTACTTCGCCGACTCTTACATCAACTTCAACTCCCTCGTCACGGACTTGTTCAAGATCTACAAGACCAGAATCTGGATGTCGGCCATTAATCCGGCATCATTTGCCAGTCCGACTCTAGGCATCCAGGCACCGAGCGGCGTGGGCCCGGGAGCTGTTGGTGTCGGACGCGGCTCAAACAACTCTGAGCGAAGGTCTAACCAGCAGCAACAGCAACAAGAACCGCAAGCTGGCGGCTTCAACGGATCCGGTCCAGCCGGCCGCGGGTTCCAAAACTCATTCACTCCCCCTTTCGGTGGAGACAGATCTGGGCCAGGCGTCGGCTACAGCCAACCCAATTACCCCTACTCCCACATGGGCGGCCTGGGCAGCGCTCCCAGGCCTGGAAACATGCCCTACGTGCCTGGAGTGATGCCGTCGCTGGATAGCTACAGCTTTCCGGGAACTGCCGACTACCAGATGCGGACCCGTTTCGCCCCGGGACCCGACGGACCGGGACCTCATGAGCAGGGTGTGGCCCCGATGAACTCCCAGAACGACTGGGCCGCTGCCTTTCAGGGACTTTCGTTGAACAGCCGTTGATAACGCCTTCTGCAATCATCCAAAAGTTATCTCGATTTCGAACTGAAGCATTCGTCGACTTCCGCAATGGATGTTCTAATTCTTTCCTCCTTTTCGGGTTTTTCCCCCGCACTGTTGCCACGACGACTGCGCGTATTTGAATACGATTGGCATGGCGGAGGCGGAGGCATTGTAAGCATAGCCGCGGCTGAGAGGCCCGGCGGCATTTCTCTCACTATTGGCGTTGGAAGGATTCTCATTTGCTTAAAATATTGACAAAACGGCGGGACCTTTTTGTGCTTCTTTCGGAAGACAAAGGAAGACTAAAAGGGAAAAGGAAAGACATGTTGACAACAAACCACTTTCACTCTTGTTTGCGTTTCGAGATTCAGGACCACGGCCTCCCCCATTCATGATCATGAGAGATTCAAGAGGAGATTGAGAGACTTTCACTATTACTCAGGGCACTATCGTCATAGACAGAGAGAGACTTTTTTTTTATATTTTATTTGCACGAGCATGGTGTAACCTGAGAATCAAAAAGGGACTTGTTTCTGGTTAATGGCTCGGTGGGATTCTTGTACGAAAGATTTTGCTTAACTATTTGGCTTTTGCGGACATGAGGATCACACTTTCAATCTCGCCTTGGGGCGCTGGCATTATCCATTGTGACGTGACATGTAGTGACATGTAAGGAGCAGCACTTTCTCATTCCTCCTGCCATGGAAGCGGCGCCTAGTCCCAAACTATACCATCCATACCGACGTGGTTGTCATTGGTCGGTAACTAGGTTGACAGACTGCGCATTATCGGGATAGTGAGGTTGACGACCACACGAAAGATAACCGGCGCGGATGACTAGGATGAGGACGTCCTCAATGATGACAATGAGAATGAGGGCGACGATGAGACAGCAAGGACCATAACGGGGGTAACAGTCATGCTAACAAGTAGGATAGCATCAGGGACACCGATGGGGGCGACGATAGCTATAACGACAAGGACAAGAGTCAGGGCAACGGCCAGGAGAACGGATCTGTCTTCCAGGAGAGAAGAGGGTCAGCAATGGCCGAGCAGAATATAAGATGACGTCAAGGCAAGCTGAACGACGGCGTTGAGTATGAGGACAGTCCTGTGGGTCGTGATGGCGATGCTGGAGAAACCTGGAAGAAGAAGTTCAGCGAATGAGATAGGGGTGAACATGATAAGAGCGAAGACTGGGGCGGGCAAAAGGTCTAGGACAAGAATACGAATCGGTCAAGGGATTTCGGGTATTGATGTCTATATCTAAGTAGACGAGAAGTAGGGGGGTGTCGTCTGGTTTTGCTGGATCGGGCGTGCTTTATTCTCATGATCACCCTGCCAAAGACGCTTTCCCACTGCCGCCTCGAAAGATGGCAGACACGATCACCTGCCACATCCGCCCCTAGTGCTATTTCCTCGGCGACTTTGAACAAGCTGTCACCAGTTCAACTAAAGACCCGTGGTCTAGTTGGTAAAATCGGCAGCAGCTTGAACAAAACATTCCCAGTGACGAGCTCTGGTAACTGAGGGAGGGGCGCTCAATTCGACACTCGCTGAGGGAGGGCCTATAGGAGGTTTTTTGTCGCTATATTTTATATATATATATATGTCGTCCGTTTATCTCGTCTTGCTCGGATAACAGTATTTACTTGCCTGTTACTATCACGAAGCTGGTTTTTCCGAGGCCCATGGCGCAACCACTGCTCGTTGGTGTTTCAAGGCAGGAGCAGCGTTCACTCTCAGGGCAGGCAGTTGCTTGATTGAAGGCGCCTCCCATGACATATTCCTTTCGCAGCCTGGGGCAGTGTATTAGGTTCATTGAGGAAGGCGATCCCTCCCTCTGTTCCTGCCCAAACATCTGCCAGCGACTTCAAGGCATCGGTGAAGCAGCCATGTCTTCCCCTTCGCATCTCCAAGCCAAATATAGTCCTTCAGTCAGTCAATCTCAACCCACGGCGGCACTATTTTCTACCATATACGTACCTTAGCCAAACGGCCTGACGACGTTTCATCACGACTGTGCAAGCCTCCATCGGACTACTCAATAGACAGAAGGAGCCGCCATGGCGCCCAAGAAAAGCACCGCCCTTGAAACTTACAAGACCAATCGGACAATGAAGGCCAGTTCCCGCACGTACAGTAACACTCGCACGCAGAGGAATGTCGACCACAATGCCTCCAATGGCGATGCTCAGCCCATCAAGCGTTCGAGTTCTGTAAAGGTTACGTAAGTTACCTCGCCTGGCGAATTCCCGCTCGTCCGTTGACGAATTGTGCAAGGACACGAAGATGCACGAATTTGCAGACGGCCAAGCGCGTGGAGAAGACTTCGAAGAAGTTAAAGGAGACGAACAAGTAGTCTTTCGAGATAGTCAAGCGGTGATTGGTTCGAGCGGCCTTTCTGAAGCATCAAGTGAAGGTTCGTATTCGCCCATCGATACCGTTGTCATGTTACTAATCTCACCACAGCATGGAGCTGCGAAGCCTCTGCCAGAGAGCAGTCGAACGGCGTCCTGATGTTGAGCTGGGCATTTTAGGTAGTGTCTACAAGTTGGCAGATATGAATCCGTCGGTCTTTATCCATTAGACTATCAAATAGCCGTCAAGCTTTGCTTTTGGCGTTGTTGATTGTGGTGACGGATTGCGCTGTTTCTGCATTCCGTCAATGTTGCAGCGCAAAGATTGATGGCGTTATATCTGATGACAGAGTTGTTGGGGTGGATGGACTTGAAGAATATACCTTCGAGCTACGGATGCGGGTAATAATTTCAAGTAGACTCGTCAACCTCCAGGGCAATTTTCCATAGCAAACATGATATATCGGGAGACGAATGGAACTAAGGTAATTGACATCCACCGGTGAAATGCGCCTGAGCTGGGGGCTCACCGAGGACTATCCGTTCAGTTTCTCGGTGAGACAAGGGCCCCATCTTTCCTGTCGGGGCAAACCCAAGGGCTAACCGCTTTAGGACTAGCGCATCGCTTATGGCACATCCCACAACTCTTCCAATTTTCCAACTCTCGTTTGCTTTCGAACTTTTCCTTCCGTCGTCGTCCAATTCATCACCACCACCCTCACCAAAACCTCGGCAGCCGGATTTTACGTGAAAAGCTGGTTTGTTCCCCTCCTACCCCAACGACGACCGACCGACCACACACTCCTTTCGTCTTTCTTTTCATTAAACATAGCGGCTAACCTTTGCTTGCTGTCGCAGTCAAAATGGGTGCCCTCAAGTATGTCGAAGAGCTCCAGAAGAAGAAGCAGTCCGATGTGATGCGCTTCCTTCTGCGCGTTCGCTGCTGGGAAGTACGTTGAATCACCCAATCCGAAAACATGTGGACGTCGAAGCAATTTCCTCTCCGTTACTCTCTCGTCTCCTGCCACCCCGATTGTCGATGGAGGGGTTTCGGTAACAGAAACCTTTATTTCCCATCCGGTGACAATCGGGGCAGCGGAGCCCGGAGGGCAATGGGGTGGAAAACTTTGCGTTCCTGCTATACACTCGTTGAACTTTTTGCTGAGAGTGCATCAATATAGCTCCGTCAGTTGAACGTCATCCACCGCGCCTCGCGCCCCTCGCGCCCCGACAAGGCTCGCCGCCTCGGTTACAAGGCCAAGCAGGGCTACGTTATCTACCGTGTCCGCGTCCGCCGTGGAGGCCGCAAGAAGCCTGTCGCCAAGGGTGCCACCTTCGGTACGTTTACCTATCTTGAGAGGGGGGAATCCGAGCTCTTGGGGAAGAAGAAGAGGGAAGGCGATGGCTAACGAGGCTCGTGACGAATAGGCAAGCCCACCAACCAGGGAGTCAACCAGCTCAAGTACCAGCGCTCCCTCGCTGCCACCGCCGAGGAGCGTGTCGGCCGCCGCTGCGCTAACTTGCGCGTCCTCAACTCCTACTGGGTCAACCAGGACTCTACCTACAAGTACTACGAGGTCATCCTCGTCGACCCCCAGCACAAGGCCATCCGCACCGACCCCCGCATCAACTGGATCGTCAACCCCGTCCACAAGCACCGCGAGGCCCGCGGTCTCACCGCCACCGGCAAGAAGTCCCGTGGCCTCAACAAGGGTCACCGCTACAACAAGACCAAGGCCGGCCGCAGAAAGACCTGGAAGCGCCACAACACCCTGTCCCTGTGGCGCTACCGGTAAACGATCACCGCCGGGAACGGTGGTGGTGTCCGACAACACTGAATCTCGATCTGCTGCTGCTTCGCGCTTTGAGGGAAACGAAAAGACGGCTGCTGTTGTATCATCTGCTGCCGCTGTCAGGTGTGTGGTTTCTGGGTGGTATTCGGGACTGCTGCTGCTGCTGTCGCACTTTTGCGTCGAGCACTGGGTATCATGCGCTGGAGTACTTCTGGTCTGACCAGGGAATTTCATACGATACGAAAATGGAACAGACTCTTTGAAGAAGAGCTTACATACTTTTGGGCGGGCGTAATGATCAAAATGTGATTTTGTGACGACTTTCAACTTCATCCCTCTCTCTCCACGTCCCTTGCTCGCTCTGTGGTGTAAAGTGCCGGTTGCAACTGTTGTCTGCGTTGTCAAAATCTCCCGCCTTCTGCTCTACATTGTCCCGTGGTCCAAAATCATGCCCGCAAAATACAGCCAGAGAGCCAGACCGATGCGACTCTCGAAAGACCGGCCGGGCGTGAAAATTTCGACCGGGGCTCCAGTTTGTGTGTGGGGTTGGAGGCGGGAAATCCTGACAAAAATGATCGACAGGAGAACCCGTTTTGATGTGCACGGCACCGAAGTCTCATCCGCCAGCGCCTCATCGCGACTGGACCAACAGACGGCAGAAAGCCGACCACGTCAACCGCGCAGTTTCAGACATATCAACTCAATCCGTTGGCAGCGAACACCTCTGTCCCGACACACACTCTTGCGTCTGGGCTACGCTGTAACCTGGCCAGAACGCAACGCAGCCAACATGAGCAGTTCGTGACTGTGAATCACACTCGAGCCAGATAGTCTCATGAATTCATGTTCAAGTTCGTAATTACTGGCTCTATCTTTCCAGATCGTATGTCATCTTTGTAATAATGTTTACCATGATAACCATGTAGAAAGGTTCCCAAATCCCATGTCCCCTCGCCGTACACCGTGCCGTCGTGCCGGGTATTTTTTTCCAAAGCAACGAAGTAAATCATCCTTGACGCCGTTACACCTCCATGACCGGTGGCTGGTATCTAGTCGGCCGTGCCAGGTCTCCAATGCAAAGCTGATTGATCCTCCACTCCTCCTCCGACGCTTCCTTCAGCGTTGGGTCTGTTTCGAGTAATCGCGGTGTCGCACTTAGAAGCGATCCATGTTGCTAGCCTCGCTGTACTTGGTGTACCGAACGTTGCCAGTGTTCATGGGATGCAGCGCAGTCGGCGGGCGGGCGAGATCGGGCAAGATGGGACTGCGACGGTCCTCGTCCCAGTCGCGGTCGTTGTCGGGAGTGTGGCCTTGCTCGACGTCGGAGGCAATCGGGTGGCTGATCTTGGGGCGGGTGCTGCTGTTCTTGTTCCAGGGGGTGAACTTCTGCGTCATGCGCCTGAAGGCTTTCTCCTCGCGGACAGAGTTGCTCCGGACCGAGTAGCCATCAACGAGTGAGCTCTTGCCCGAGGCAAGGCTGCCGTCATTGCGAATACTGCGCGCGTTGAGTCCATTATCTCCGTCACGAAAGACGATTGAGGAAACGATGTTGAAGAAGCCAAAGGTAATGACGAGAATGCCCGAGGACAGGAGGAGGCGCCAAAGAGGTAAGCCAAGGGTCTGGATGGAGAAGGCCGGCTCGGTGATGTTGGCAAGGACCTGGCAACCCATGACAATCATGGCGATTCCCAGCCAGCTGAGGCCATGTTCGCTTGAGAGGACGGGCCAGTTGCGCTCGAAGTAGTTGCGGAAGATGTTGAGCTCGGAGACGAGAAGGAAGACGGCGATAGAGAAGGTGAAAAAGTGGGAAGCCGAATCAAAGAAAGCAAAGTTGCCCTTGAGGATGGACATGACGATCATGACCCAGGTCGAGGCGCAAACAGCGAGGAGGCCGATGACGTTGAAGGCGCGGAAGACGTTCAGGATCATATGACCCGAACCGCGAAGACGCGAGTTGTTGGACAGGTTGAACATTTTGAGCTTGCAGATGTCTAAGAGGTATGGTCAGCAAGCTGATCGGGGTAGGTGCTGGCAAGGATCCATATACGGACAGGATGCGGGTGCCGGGAAAGCTAGCTATCGGTAAGTTTGCTTGTGACGAGGTTCGTAGCAAAAAGAATCAGTCGAGTCAATCGGACTGAATAGTACAAAATTTGACTGTGCGTCTGTCGTATGGGTATCGGAGTGAGCGTTATTAGTCGACAAGTAGGAAATTCTGCCGGAAACCAGTCCAGGAGAGTAGAGTGGTGATGTAGAGAGAGAAGTGGGATGCGATGAAGAGCTTCACCAAAGATTTGAGGTTGAGGAGAGGAAGGACTGAACGTGAACAGGATTAGTCAAGACCCAAGAACAGAAATGTCCACGGCTGTTCAGTGGGACTATAAGGTAGAGGAAACGCCTGGCGAAGGACCGGTCGGTGAAGTCGTAGACAAAGGGAAGGAGGGTTGGGGAGGTCTTTCTTTTAATAAGGTAAGGTACAGACCAGGCCTCTGGGTGTCCCAACTGCCCCTTCCGTCAAGCTCCAGGAAAGATGGGGTGACAGGGGGAAAAAAAAAATAGGCAGAGGCGAGATACAGCAGCATGTGTATTGTTCCTCCCGCGCGTCACTGGAATTTTCTTTTTTAGAGCCGGAGCGGCAAGAGCAAAGTAAAGTAGGAAGGAACGTATGGTTTGGCCGAGGGTGCCTGCCCGGTGACCGTCCCCATTCGCCGTTTCGAAATGCGGCCAAAAGTTTCGCGCAACCAGCAGCCAATCGATTTGGCAGCGCAAAGAGACCCCCAGAGCTAGGATGCTTTACTTTGGAGAGAGGGAAGAGGATGGGGGTGGAGGAGAGTTCAAGGGTTCTATCACGAACAGCATGGACGATCTCTTCTCTCGCATCCCAGCGGCACGAAGAACGACCAGGGATCATGGGACGGGGTACTTGACCTGGTGGCATGTGGGATGGAGACCCGAGCACTTCAGCTGAAGTACTGCATATTCGGATAGGTAGGTAGTAGACGGTGGTGGCAACAAGACGAGGACAATTACACCCCATGTTCTCTGCAGTGCTGAGCTGTAAGATACCCTGCGGTCGATTGAGATTCCAGACAACCTAATGCCGTGCTTCTGCAAGCAGACGTGGTTTCAATGAGATGCCCTGGTTGAACACTCGCAGCATCAACTGAACCATGGTGCCTAGTCGTCTAGACGTCCATATGTCTGTCATTCGGGTCTATCTTACAGGTCGGGCAGCGGAGACCTGCAGTATGTGACTGAGCCCGTTCTCAACTCGGAGCTGCTGATGACCTGTGGACGCTCCGCTCCGTTGAAGATCCCACGGGCTGATCATGGGCGAAGACGAGACGAAGCAAGACCCCAGGAAGCAAAGGCCAGCAAAGCATGGATGACATGAACTGGCGCTGGCGTGGGCCGCTTTCGTCCAACCCTGCACTGAAGGTCGGTGTCCGCTGCAGTCGCCATCATGGACCACTCAGGTCGGAGGTGGTTGATTAAGAGGCAAAATGACAGGGCCCAAGGCATCGAGGTTTGCAAGTCTGAACAAGGATTGAGACACGGCAGACGCAGAGAAGCACACAGGTGAAAAAGGGGTGGACCGTGGTCGAGAAGTTGCAAACAAATGGAACTAGTGCACGACAATGGGTTGAAGGGACATGGCAACTTCTCAGTTGTTAGGACCGAAGCTGGATTGATTGGATGACGGACGACCAGACATTGTTTCATGCGAGTTTAGCAGAGACAGCCGCCGGCCGAATGTCAGGCACGAAAGCCTGCTGGGCGACCCCTGCAAGCGCCAGAACTGCCGATTCGCTGTGCGACGAAAGGGCGTTGAAGTGTGAGCGGCAAAGCAGCCCCTGCCGTAAGGTACCTACATGCCTAAGGTAGTGCAGCTCATCAACCGGACCATTATCAGGTTGCTGCTGTCCAGTGTGATATTGGATGGATGTCCATTATTTTCCCATCCCGAGTGCGAGTACAGCAATTCTGACGCGGAATCCCCACTACAATACCGACCCGACGTCTTCAATAACACTCCGCCTGATTAGCTCGCGGCTGCTTACATGAAGCATTAACCTTATGAGTTTGGTAGGAGGAAGGCTTCGGACGGTGCATCTATTCACAGCTAATGATCCAATTAAGTGAACCAAGTGATCGCGGCTGAGGACGGCTATGAAATCAATCAGCCGAGAGCAACTCGCAGGACTCTCAACTCACGCGCCGAAACACGCCATATACCGAGGCATCGTGATACTTTCCGCGAATGAGGTTAACGTTATACTACTATATCGTGCCAGATATTGGGAGCATCATCAACTGCTTCATTATTTCAGTTTCGTCTTCCACATTGACGAGTTGTATGGTCCGAGCTCCTTGATCTAGATCTCTACACATGTGAAGGCTCTCCGCGGTCTGCGCAATGATCATGACGCTCCTCACCAAATGAAACCTGAAGATGAAACTAGAGCATTCGACATTTTTGACGGCCAGAGATCGGATGGGCCGTGCCTTAAGCGCTGACAAACGCAGGGAGCCAACATTTCCCCCCCCTTCGAACGTTTCTGGACTGAACGTATGGTCCGGTCCATAAGCGGATCGCCAAATAAGCGCCCACTCGCGTTACACTTAATTTTCATGATGCTATCTTGGGCGACCGAGTTCTCATCTCCGATCTCGTCATCAGAACGCTGCTTGAACTGAGGCAAACTGCGCTTGCATATTGTCTTCTCGATAAGACGGTATCACCACATGGCCCTCGTCCGCGGCCAGCCGCGTTTCTCCATTGCCTGGTCATGAGCGATTTCAGTAAGCGCCAGCAATGCCACCTCGGCCGACATCAGGCCGTGTGTTCGGGCCCGCGGCACAATGAAGCTCAAAATAGCCGTGTGTGATTTGTGATTCGTGATTTGACATAATGCAAAAGCCGAGGTAGATGAAGAAACAACGACAAAAGCATGCCGGACATGCACAACTTCCTGTCTTACATTCATTATATACTGACTACTTGATTGAGTATCCCGAGTACGAAGTATACGGGCCTTTTTCTCAGCCGAAGCGCTATGGTGCCAATGCCATCAACCCGCCTGAACCAGAAGCCGGTTGCCATTCGTTGTGGAACTCTCATCGTGAGCTGATCTATCTTATTACCAGCTGCCTCGAGCTCCAGTCAGTAGAATTTCGGCAAGCCGCCTCAGAAACGATGATGCACAGCTAATAATCAGCTAGCATCGTTGTGACTCAGTCAGAGCCGGGGAAGCCCGATTCTGGGACATAAAGACAACATGACTCAGATCAGAATGAATCATTTATTGTGAGGTCGCCTGCTCACGAGACTACCTTAGCCAGCTGGTAAAATTGTCTTTATATGGTTGGTGTAGAAATCAAGTGAAGAGTTCAAGAGATAAGAGATAAGCCCTGCAAGATGTGGCCCGTGCTTAGAAGCACGTGAGCTCGGGCGGACCCGTCTTGGGCTGGGTTTTTGGCTGCTCCTGCGCAATCGCTTTCCGCCTCAGCCCTTTGCTTGGGACGACGTCAACCTCATCCTACCCTCTGCTGTCAACCCGGGCAAACCTCAACACCAAGACGACCATCCAGACGACACTTCGATTGCTGCCGACGCAGTATTTTTTTTCGCCGCGAAATAATATCTGACTGCCCTTGACGTTATTGTCGTCGCTTCAATCTCCTCGTGATCAATCAGCTGCCAAAGACCGTCGCTCCGCAGTTGTCGCGACGTTCTCCCTACGTTCACATCACAAGAGGCCTCATTGCATACTCTGGACGGATGCGATAGCTCCTGACGGATGATGCTACAGCGGTGATCTCGCCATCTGCCTTGGAATCTGGTTGGCTTGGTGCGGAGGATTTGAGCAGGAGGAGGCCTGGACGCGAGAGTTGGAATCTGCACCTCGGCCCTCCCAGTTTAGGTTACCTGCGTTGTCTTCTTCATCAAAACGGAGGTCTTCGCTCCCATACAATAAGGGTGGTTTTCTTGTGCTTCCCAGTGCATACGGTGAAGGGTTGAGGACGGCTTGGCTCCTTCCGTCGCCACTTCGCTTTTCTGCAGTTTTCGCTCGCCATCACTCGCGTGCTCTTGACAAAACCAAAATTTCAAAGTCGTCACCAAGAAGATCTCGCAACAATGTCATACGAAGCGTCCGCCACCGAAGTGGCAGAAGACTACCGCCAGGCACTTGAAGACCTGACTACCAACGTGCGCTTCGAAATCAGCAATCTGACAATGATTGCAAGAGAACAGACAGAGCACGCCCAGGTTATATCTGAAGTTCTGCAAGATCACATTTTGAAGGTAGGTCAAGACTTCCATAGCTGCCGTCAACACCCTCGCAAGCAGCCATGGCAGAAGCCATGCTCCATCGTCTTTTACTGAAAGGTATCTAACTGTGATTTCTTGGCAGGCTCCGGCACACAAGAAGCTCCCGGCTCTCTATGTCCTCGATTCGATCGTCAAAAATGTTGGCACTCCGTACACACTTTTCTTCGGCGCGAAGCTATATCAGACATTTATGGAAGCGTACGCCGCGGTCGACGGTCAAGTACGCCGCAAGATGGACGAGATGCTCCGTACGTGGAAGGAGCCGGTCCCTGGATCTCTGGACAAGCGTCCGGTCTTCGCCCCGGAGGTTACGCAGCCCATCGAGAGCGCTCTGATGAAAGCTCGCACATCGGCTCTTCAGGCTCAGCAGGGTCGAGGCCGCGGTCGTCCCGGCGCGCCGTATCGCGAAACGCCCACGCCGCCAGGTGTACGTCCTGGGTCCAACCAGCCAGGACCGTACGCTCAGCCGCCGCCTATGCAACAACCGAACGGAAGCCGACCTCCGAGCGCGCCGCTTCCACACCACCCGCAGATGGTGCCCTATGCAGTATGTCACCCGCTGGCGATGTCTTCACCTTATACTAACAAGTACCACAGCCTCCTCCAGCGTCCTACAGCGCGCAGCCGCCCTCGGCAGCCCCTGGTCCTTATCAACCGCCTCCACAAATGCCACATGCGGCTGGGCTTGCGGGCCCTCCTCCGGCTGGTGGGATAAGCAAAGATTCTCTGGGTCAAGATATCCAGAAGTTGATCGATGCGTCGAAGTTGGAGTTTGCGCAGAACCCACATGATCATAGTATTCAACAAAGACTTAAGGCGTTGTTGGATGTGCAGAGCTTGCTTCAGCACCAGAATTTGCCCCAGGACCAACTGGTCCTCATAAAGAATCAAGTAGCCGATCTTGCTGTAAAAGTGCGGCCGTTCGCGGCCCAGGGCTCTGCCCCTGCTGCTACACCTGTTCCCCATCATCCACCGCCCGCTGCGGCGCCTGTAGTATCGTCTGGACCTCCCCAGCAATCAGCGGGAGTAACGCTTGATGCTCTGTTCGGCCAAGGTGCACTTGCTTCTCTGCTTTCCCGGCAGTCAGCTACACCCCAGGCGCCGACACCGACGCCGCCGCCGCCGTTTCCGAACATGGCTATCCGGTCACCTCCTCCACAGAGGGCCGAGCCGCAACGGCAGCCCAGCGCTCCGCCGGCCGCAGACCCGATGTCTTTGCTCGCAAGCCTGCGGCAAGCAGGACTGCTCTCAGGAGCTGCGAATGCAACGCCTACACCAGTGCCGCAGCCAGCATCGGCCCCCGTACTGGCGCCACCACCCCCGGCCCCTGTGCCGCCTCCAGGAATGCCGATGCTGCCACCCGGTCTGCTGCCTCCCAACATTGCTCAGCTGTTGGCTGGCATGCCGCGGCCTCCTCTACCAAACGCGAACCAACTTGATGCCACGGCTTTGAAGCAACAGTAAGTTTGCCAGCTGCAGGGGAGCGCGTTGTGTACTGACTCTTCGCAGATATCAACCACACTTGATTTCCACGCTGTTTGAGCAGCTAGGGCCTCAATGCACACAATGCGGCAGGCGGTTCAAGACCAACGAGGAGGGCCGAAAGAAGAAGATGGCACACATGGACTGGCATTTCAAAGCCCATCAACGGCTAGCGGAAGCAGAAAAGCGAGGTCAGCACCGAAGCTGGTACGTCGACAGCAAGGTAAGCTCTCATGCCCGCAGCACATGTCCCCGAGATTCTAACACTACACAGGACTGGCTTAAATCACGAGAAGCCATCGACATTGATCACGCACCGTCCACGGACAATTCTTCATCTAGTCCCGGCCGAGGAAAAAAGGAAGCCAAACCCAAGTACATCCCCGTCCCAGATGGATCAAGCCGGATCAACCACGTCTGTCCTATCTGCCAGGAAAAGTTCGAGAATAAGTGGCTTGATACGGCACAAGAGTGGGTATGGCTTGATACTATACTTGTCGGTAATCGGGCATATCACTACAGCTGTCATGCGGAGGCGAGCCAGGCGCGAGAGAGCACGCCGGTATACTCAAGGAGTACGCCCGAGCCTGTGAGACGCAAGCGGAAGGCCGAAGTAGGTTGACGGAATACCCTTTTCCGGCGCCAGCATGAGCTAACTTTCACAGCAGGATGATCTGAATTCTCTCAGAGGAAGAATCAAAGTAGACAACCGTAAATGGGAGACTGAGCTCGATTACTAGAGAATGCTCCTCAGGAACGGGGTGACGGGTGCTTCGTGTGAGAGCGTCATGTCGGTTAGGAGAGCGATAGGAATCACCACAACCGCGTCTTCAACACACAGGACAAATGGTGGGGGGCATTCTGAGGTGCCAAGGAACAGACGCTGACTGTAAGGAAACAAGTGATTGGAGGGTGGCACGAGCAAGTAAGAAAGCTCGTGTCACGCCAATATGCCGCCAATGCATGCAAAAGGAAAGAAGAAGGAAAAACGATCCTTCATGGGGCTTGGGTGGGAGGTGATCTTGGGGGGGATCGGCACACACGGGACAGCGGAGGCGCGGGCACCAACCTGGGAAGATAACTTGGTAGTGGTGTATCGTGAGGCTCCTCCGTTTGTCGGAGGAGCTGGGCGAGGGATCGGCGGCCGAGCTTCTCAGTATCATGGTCGACTCACGTGCTTGGCAAGGCCAGGCCAGGCCAGGCCACATCGGCGCAGTCCATGTGTGCAAAGAGCCGACGCAGGGGGCAAGCGGAGGAAAAGGGCTTAGCAAGAAGCCACACCGCAACACCGGACCGGACGGGTGACAGCGCAGCACATCGCAGCGAGCATCAGGGGTTTGATTGCTCACATGGCACGAAAGACATACTTTACATTCCGTGACTATGTGTCTGTCTCTGCGTCTCGGGAGTCGGACAGCACATGAACTTATTAATCAAACCACGACTCAACGCAAGCAACGTTCTCTGATACCTGGTGATGGTGATGCGGAATTTCCAAAACGAACATGCCAACAGGCTCGAAGGCCGACTCCTACGACATGGCAAGCCGTGGAAAAGAAGTTCCGACTATGACTTCTCTTGTTTGTGTGCTTCTCCACACGAGCTCTTGTGATCATGGATTCGCCGTCGTCGCGCATCCCACGTCCCACTCCCCACAGTCTTGACTCTGCGCTAGGGTTGAGGTGCAAGGGAACGCAGCTCGCTTCTGTGGGCATCCTTGCATAGGCATTCGACCCTTTTTTTCACTTTCCTTCTTTTTTTTTTCGTGACTGCAGTTTTGGGCACTCCGATGTCTGCATGGCAATTGCCTGAGCTACATCCGTCTCGGCGGGCTAGAACACGGTCTTACGTCCTGGAAGTTGTCCTATGAGCCTTGGACCGATTCTAGCCCATCTGATGGAAGAGGGTTACGCTGTGATCATGTCCAGGGATGCAAAGTGTTGGGCAACGATTGGGTCGCATGGGGGCGGGAGAGAATGGGGAAAAGATGGACCCGGGGAGGACGGCGTGGGCAGGTTGAACTTGGATGAACAAACAGACTCAGCAACCCGCGACGACGTCGGTGGCAGGCCGGAGGACGTCGAAAGCACTGGAAGGTTTTGAGAGAGGATTCTACCGGGCAGCTTGTGGACGGAACGGCGGCAGCGGAAGGCGTCCGGACCAACCTTTTCGGGCTTCCCGATGATCAGCTTACACTGTTTCTGTAAGGTGAGGTAGGGAGTTGCCCTTGTCCATTGTCTTGCCATTCTTTCTTTGCCCGCGGCTCGGTGTCGATTGTCTCTGGCGTAGCGTACCTCTAGCGTTTGCAGATCGTGTTTTTCTCCTGTCTTATCTCGTCGGGAACACGCGTCTGTTTTATTCATATCCGTTTGTACCGTTTACCACTACCGCCGGCTTGAATCGTACCGTATGGGAAAACAAGTGCCCTGTATTAGCTATGTGGCAATTGGGTAATCTTGACCGGCGTGGCGGCCGGAGACATTAAAACTGAGGAACTTGAGGATTGGAACAAAACAGAGCTAATGTCATAAATGTGGAGGGAGCTTCCAAGTTTTGTTTCCACTGGGTTAACACAACTACCGTCAGCGAAGCGTTTCTCCAGTTCGCGGTCATTGAAGTGCACAGTCGCCCGCCTGTTCATTGCTTCACACCCCTTTCTGGAATCATGTGGGGAAACATAGCCATGGCGGGGTTGTGCTTTTCCTTCTTCCGCGTGTGTGTGTGTGTGTGTGTGTGTAATTTTTGCCTCCCGGGAACGTAAAGAAAGCTGTGTGCGTGCGTACGAGTGTGTTGCAAGCACCCAGATGAGGTGGTGAGCCGTGTGTCCCGGACATTGTGAGCATGGAAATGGGTAATGCAGCATTGGGATGGGAGCTGGCCATCCAGGGACTTTCCCAGATATCACAGTTGCGCGGGCTGCCATTGAACCCACGAGGGCCAGGTGAGAGAGAGTCTTCCGCCTCAACAATGGAAGCGGCTGGACTCACCCCAATCAGGTACTCAGTGACATTATCTTACCTTGAGGTACTTCAAGCTGCCTGCCTTACCCCAAGACCCCGTACCCGACGGTACGGCGGGATGGAGGTGCCCGCATATCCATGTGGATGTTCCTTCCCTCCATCCTGTCGGCGCTGCCCCCGTTGCGAGGGTGAGCCTGGCCGGCCCCCGATAGATAGCGCTTGGAGCTGCAGCTGACACCGGCCGCGGACCCATCCCGGTAACTGTATTTTGTTGATTTTATTTTTATTTCATTTTCATTTTCCCGGTACCTACCCTACCTAGTGTAGTCTTCTGCTGTCCACGGGGTTCTAGTCACCCTTCTCTTGCATCATGTACAAGCAGGACCCTATACCGAGCAGGGTAGCTTTTGTACCTTACCCCCACTTGATGGAGGGGCAAAAGGGTTCTAGGTCCTGGGCGGACGGCGCAAGCACAAGCTCAACCCCCGTCATCAGAACTTTGGAGGTCTCGACAATGACGGTGTGAGCTCTGTCCGGTCGCCCCTCCAGCTCGTGTTGAGGTATTGGCGCCGTAAGGTATCCTTTTAAGAGAGCTCTTCGTCGCTCCTTCCGTTGATCGGCAGCCGTGGGTGTCCAAAAGACCTCCGCCCCCCTCTCTCTCTGTGTCTCTAACTTGCCTGTTCTCACGCAGCAGTATTTTCATTTCCAAACCGATCCACAGAGACTTGCGCGCGAGTCTCGTCTTCCAACATACATTGCAACCGCGTGAATGGGCGAATTCCTGCCTGCCATGGAGTAAGTCCTTTTTCTTCCTATTCCATCGAAACAATTGGGCCGGAGGGGCCGGCTTCCTAGCTCCTAGGATTGCGACAGCTTCGTGACGAACCAGAGTATCTAACATCATCGCTCACAGACCTCCTCAACTTCTCGTAAGTCCAGCCGACAAATCGCGAGAGCTGCTCATCCTCGCCGACCAAGACCCAAGCCATTGACCTGACACAACCGGCAGGACCACTACATTGGAATCGATGTGGGCACTGGCTCTGCCAGAGCTTGCATAATCGACGAGACTGGCGATATCAAGGCCCTGGCCACTGAAACCATCAAGCTTTGGCAGCCAGAGACAGGATACTATGTAAGTTTCAATGCCCGCTTCTGTGTTCCTCTCACGTTGCGACGGCTTCAATTCCGGATAACCGACTAACGAACGCTAGGAACAATCGACGACAGACATCTGGGCGTGCATTTGCCTTTGTGTCAAGAAGGTTCTCATCGATTCATCCGTCGACCCAGCCAAAATCAAGGGCATCGGCTTTGATGCCACCTGCTCCCTCGCCGTCTTCAGCCACGACACTGACGAGCCTGTCCCCGTCACCGGCCCCGAATTCGACAATGCCGACGGCAACGACCGCAACGTCATCCTGTGGCTTGACCACCGTCCCGTCGAGGAAACAGAGAAGATCAACGCCACGGACCACAACCTGCTCAAGTACGTCGGTGGGACAATGAGCATTGAGATGGAAATCCCCAAGGTGCTCTGGCTCAAGAACAACATGCCCAAGGAGCTTTTCGACCGTTGCAAGTTTTACGATCTGGCGGACGCTCTGACACACATGGCCACCGGCAATGAGACGAGGAGCTTCTGCAGCACCGTCTGCAAACAGGGCTACGTCCCTGTGGGTGTCGATGGCAGCGTCAAAGGGTGGCAGGAGGACTTTCTGACGACAATTGGTCTCGAGGACCTTGTGAAGGATGACTTCAAGCGCATGGGCGGCGTGAACGGGGTGGTGAGCTATCTTGTTGTTGACTGGGGGCATATGACTGACCGGTATCATAGAACGGAAAGTACCTGAGCGCCGGAGAGCTTGTCGGCACGCTCTCTAAAAAGGCGGCTAGGGAGCTGGGACTTCCAGAGGGCATTGCCGTTGGTGGCGGTGTGATCGACGCCTACGCCGGCTGGATCGGTACGGTTGGAGCCAAGGTCGAGCTTCCTCCCGACCATCTGGACGAGGAGGCCCCAAAGAACGATCTTTCTCAGGCCTTCCACAGACTAGCGGCGGTTGCTGGAACATCGACATGCCACTTGGCGATGTCTAGGGAAGCCGTCTTCGTGCCCGGTGTCTGGGGCCCGTATCGTGACGTGTTGTTGCCCGAGTTCTGGATGGCCGAGGGCGGCCAGTCCGCAACTGGAGAGCTCCTCCGACACATTCTTGACATCCACCCCGCCTATGTCGAGACGCAGGCACTTGCTACGGCCGAGTCGAAGAACATCTACGACTTCCTGAACGCTCACCTCCATTACATGGCGGAGAAGACCAATGCCCCTTCCGTCTCATACCTTGGCCGCCACTTCTTCTTCTACGGCGATCTGTGGGGCAACCGTTCGCCTGTTGCCGACCCTAACATGAAGGGCGCTGTCATCGGTCTCAGCAGCGACAAGACCACCGATAACCTCGCGTTGTGGTACTATGCGACAATGGAGTTCATTGCCATGCAGACGCGTCAGATTGTGGAGGCGATGAACAACGCCGGCCACGTTCTCAACACCATCTTCATGTCCGGTAGCCAGTGCCAGAACCCACTGCTCATGGACTTGATGGCTACTATCTGTGATATGCCCGTCCTCGTGCCCCGGTACGTCAACGCTGCCGTCGTCCACGGTGCCGCCATGCTCGGTGCTAAGGCGGCCACCGCATCCGAGGACGGCACGACAGAGAACTTGTGGTCCATTATGGATCGTATGAGCAAGCCGGGCAGGCTCGTCAAGCCCGGCACCCTCAAGGGCGAGAAGCTCCTCTTCGACGCCAAGTACAAGGTCTTCCTTGAGCAATGCAAGACACAACAGGAGTACAGAAAGCAGGTTGATTCCGCTGTTGACCAGTGGCTGAAGAAGTGATTCGCGTTTAATGAATGGTGGGAAAAAGAACAGGGCCAACGAAAGATGTTGCGGTTTAGACGGCTCAAGGGTACATCTTGTTGGTTTAGGTTCACAGGTCAACGGTCATTCTCTACAAAGGGTTGTACGGGGAGTTTTGCAATATAATGATAATGATCGTTCATTAACGGATAGATATTTATTTTAGAGGCGTATCGTCTCGTCTCGAATCAAATCCTGCTGAGCCTCGGTCCTTCGTGCTCGCTGTTTGAGTCTCGAATCCACAAGCAGGGGTAGTGCTTTGCGGGCCAAGCCACCTCACATGCGTCCTCGGATTCGCGCGAGGTGGGCAACGATGAAGTTCATCCCCACTGGAGGGGGGTTTCGTTCCTGCACGTCCGCATCTGCAGCGAGCACACGTGCCTGTAACTACAGCAGCTGATAGGGCAATGGCCTTTGCGCTAGGGTAGCGGGACAGTGGAAATGCGGCGCTGGGACGGGGACAACTGGTGTGGGGCCGCGCTTCAGCAACCACCTCACGGACCAAGGCGGCCGACATCACCTTGAAGCTTGTTTTTCCATCCATTTCCGCTACCTACGTCTCGATCGAAATTTTCCATCGCTAGAGTTACCGACCTCGTTCTAGCTGATCGCGGCACGTCTGTTCACATCTGCGACGGTACTGGAAGCTTTTCGGACCTCGAACAACGACGAGAAACGACGAAAATCGACTGGGACCGAACCCTTCGTAGCTCGACTAGCTCCAACTCGTACCAAAGTTTACACCCAGCACCCGTCGCTGCGGTCAGTCAGCCACCATGCGATTCGGAAAGACGCTGCGGCAAGCCATTTACGCGCCGTGGAAGGACAAGTATATCGACTACGCGAAGCTCAAGAGCCTGCTGCGGGAGGACAAGTACGATGACGACGACGTCGCGTGGACTGAGGAGGACGAGAACCGCTTTTGCGAAGAGATCTTCAACACCCAACTCGAGAAGGTTGCCCGATTCCAGGAGCAGACTTTCAACGGCCTGAAGGATCGTATCGACGCCGCGTTCGAGAAGCTCAAGGAGCTGGCGCCGCCGCCCAGCGAAGATGAACAGGATGGACCCGAGAACGTCAAGAAAGCCGATGCCGCGACGGCGCAGAAGCTCAGGGACATCGAGGCGGAGCTCGACAAGATCACGACCGATATCTCGGAACTGAAGAAGTACAGCAACATCAACTATACGGGCTTCCTGAAGATCGTCAAGAAGCACGACCGCAAGCGCGGCGACCGCTACAAGGTCCGGCCCATGATGCAGATGAGGCTGTCGCAGCGGCCCTTCAACTCGGAACAGAGCTACTCGCCGCTTCTCAACAAGCTGTCCATCATGTACTACGCCATCCGTCAGCAGCTCGACGAGGGCGGCGCTGACCAGCAGCCTCTGGATCTCGAGAGCCAGGGCGAAACGCACAACGGCGAGAGGTACACCGCTCACAAATTCTGGGTTCACCCAGACAACCTGCTGGAGGTGAAGACGTACATTATGAGACGACTCCCCGCGCTTGTCTACAGCGAGCAGTCAGCCAAGGAGCTCGACGGCACCAACGATCCTACCATTACCTCGCTGTATTTCGACAGCCCCAAGTTTGACCTGTACGGAAAGAAAGTGGAGCCCAAGTCTGAGGCCTCTTCCCTGCGCGTGCGGTGGTACGGACAATTGAGCTCGAAGCCTGACCTGTTCATTGAGCAGAAAATTGTCGCGGAGCAGGGCTCGAGCGAGGAGCGCAAGTTCTCCATCAAGGACAAGTATATCAAGCCGTTCATCGACGGCACGTACAAGATGGAGAAGACTGTGCAGAAGATGGAACGTCAGGGGCAGCCGGCGGAGGAGATTGAGAACTTCAAGAATACCGTCCAGACCCTGCAGTCCTTTGTCCAGGAAAACAAGTTGCAGCCCGTCCTGCGCGCCAACTACGCCCGCACTGCCTTCCAGAAGCCTGCCGACGATCGTGTGCGCATCTCCATCGACACTGAGGTTGCCTTCATCCGCGAAGACACCCTGGACCGCGACCGGCCGTGCCGTGACCCGGCAGAGTGGCACCGCATCGATATCGACGGGCGTGGCCTGACCTACCCGTTCAAGGATATCAACCAGAGCGAGGTTTCCCGCTTCCCCCATGCCATTCTCGAGATTAAGCTGAAGGAGGACCCCAATCGGAAGCGTCCGGCGTGGATCGCCGATCTCATGGCATCCCACCTGGTGCATCCCGCCCCCCGCTTCTCCAAGTTCGTCCACGGTGTCGCCTCCCTGTTCGAGGACTACGTCAACAGCCTGCCCTTCTGGCTGAGCGACCTGGAGGGCGACATCCGCAAGGATCCCCAGCAGGCTTTCGAAGCCGAAGAACAGCGTCGCGCGCAACGTGCTGAGGATGAAATGGCTGTTGGCAGCTTCTTGGGCAACAAAGTTAGTTCCTACAAGGTGTCCAAGAGTTCGCCGGCCGGCACATCGCATCTCGCCAACCGTATGGCGGCAGAGGCGAGCGCGCGCTCCAGGCAGGCTGGCACCGCTGAGAGTCAGCAGGCCAACACTACCGGCCAGCAGAGCGGCGAAGGCAGCCAACAGCGCAGCTACGGCACCCTGTCATCTGTCCTCCCCGGCTTTTCGCTCTCGAAATATTCCAAGGCCAAGAGGGCCCAGAGAAGCCGGGTGCAGCTGCCCGAGGGTGTCGTTGAGCCGACCCAATGGCTCAAGAACTCGGGCGAGCTCAAGATCGAGCCCAAGGTGTGGCTGGCCAACGAGCGCACGTTCCTCAAGTGGCAGCACATCTGCATCCTTCTGGGCGCTCTGGCCGTGTCTCTGTACACAGCAGCGGGCGAGAATGCCCTTGCCGAGATGATGGGTATCGCCTACATTTTGATTGCAATTTTCGCCGGCGTGTGGGGTTATACGATGATGCACACGAGGAGGACGATGATCATCGACCGCAGCGGGAAGGACTTTGACAACCTCGTCGGACCCTTGATCATCAGCGTCGCGTTAATGATTGCCCTGATTCTGAATTTTGTATTTGCTGTAAGTCTCCCGACACCCCTCTTGATCGGTACTAACCGTCATCTCAGTATCAAGCTGCGGTCGACAAGCTGGACGTCGACAAGGTCCTAGGTGTCACCAACGTCACTGGCGAGCCCATCCGCCAGGAACTCATTTAAAAAGAAGCAGACTTGGCGATGGTTTCAGGGTGTGACTGTCTCGATATGTGGGCTTTTGCATAATATTCTGGTGGTTGATTTGCATGCGTTGCATTGGGGCGGTGCTCAGTTTGATTTTGCGGCATTGTTATTGGTACCTGTTGGTGGACGCCGAGCGTGTCGTGATTCGTGTATAAGACAGGACAGCGTGAGCATCAAAAATACATCTTCTTTGTCGGTAAGCGATGTTTTCCTAATGCCGTTCCATTCATTGGTAGTGCCCGTTGCTGGATGCTCGAGCGACGTTCTACTCGTGGCGATGAGCCGCATCCACTTCCAATATGCTCCAGTTCATGCGCTGTATCAATGATCGAAAGAGAAGTTCTTGGGTGATTTGAAGTAGTTTGTAACACGATAGAGGAATATGGCTTTGTTCATGGTTTATTGGTCTGTAAGTCGTGGCGTGGGAATGTCTCGTGTCTTGTGGGCGTTATACCGAATTGTGCGCCATTCAGATGTCACCTCTGCGCTTCCTCATCTCGATCGTGGATATAAAGTTCCAACGCTGCCAACCCAGGAAATCCATCATACTATATAGTCGTGGGACACCCTCTGGTAGCTATGTCAAATCAAAATGCACCTAATCCAGTAAATCCCCCTGGGTTGCAAGCCAATGAGAGTTCTCTGGTTGGCCGTAGGCAACTTTCTTCCACCTTAATAATCTCGTCGAAAACTTCAATGATATCCTCATCTGACTGCTTGTGATTCGAGTTTCTAGTTGAGAAACACGCTGGGATATTCCGTGCTTGTCCTCAACCATTGGCGAAGTAAGATGATGACCTTCTGTTTTTTGCCTGTTTGCGGCGTTCACTGCGAATCCGTCCTCGTATTGTTACGAATGGAAGAGAGACTCTTGTCTCTTTGGAACAAGACTTCATGGATAGAAAGGAAGTGTGTGACTTGCTGTGGTGATGATATAACGGCTCTCAACATACAATCATAGCTGAATCAAGCCTGCCGCGATCCTTGAAAGATTTTGACACTTGGTGGGATCGTCTTGAAGTTTTCGAGAGTCTTCGGGCTCAGGCCCGTGTCTTTTTTACTCGTCTAGCTCAGCTATCGGTGGAAACACACACGCAAAGCTCTCAAAATGAAAAGACACTCGGCCATTATCTGTCTCGAACAGTTCCAGGCTTGCTCAGATTCATTTCTCTAAGCGTGAATACCGGTCTGACTACATGTATTCTGTATTTCCATAGAGAACTGCACATTCATCCCCCCGAGTACCAAAGACTTTTACTTTGATATGGCAGAGCTGTTTCGCCTTGAACTCTTCTTCACTGTTGAATCTTCCGGGCTTTCGTTATTGTTGTATGAAATTAGCGTCACCCTATGTCAAGACATCAACGATTTTGGCCTATATTTACAGATGTGACATATCACACAGCCTTTCCAAAAGCTGCCTTCTGTTAGGTCCCAAAAACTCCTTGGGTGCGTTTGACCGCATGATATGCCTGGTCACTTGGCGAATGCCATCCATATTCTCTGGCCCCTCTGGGCACAGCAGCACGTCTGACATCAGTTAAGTCATCACTCCGTTCCCAAAATCTTGCTCATGATGTAGAAGAAGACGGATGTCATTGACGATTAAGTCCCGTTTATCAAGTTCAACAAATTCTGTGATAACGACCTGTATCTTCAGAAGCTTCAAAGGGGCTCAACAAGAGTGACGTTGCTCTATTTGTATCGCCGGGAGACAAGATTCAAAATTTGGCCTTGATGACATACTCGAATAGTATCATTGGAAGAGATGGTGATTCTTTCACCTAGATCGAGAACGTAACCACTCGGCGCTAAACAGACAGACTTGAAATCATCGATCTACAACGAACTGAAATATTTGACATCAGGCTGGTGTTTTCTGGAGCTTTATCAGCTCGCCCCAGACATGAGCATGATTATGTAGCTCGTTTACAGACAGATTATGATTGTCTGGTAGTGCTTGGGTCTCGTTATCTACTTGTGAAAACAGAAACCCCCAATGATCATTTTGCGATGCTGTCGCACTGATTTGGCCGCAACTTGCAATTACTGCCGAGAATATTGACTAAGCCCCTCTTTTAGAACTCGGTTGGAAAGCCGGTAACTTGTAAACAAGTCGACAAGTTATTGTACATGTCGAAGTTCTCGTGTACGGCGGCGATGACCGTTTTGTTTTATGAGAAACCAAGGAACGTAGTAGCTCATAAGCGACATCTACAACACCACATATCTCGTCGGGGTAAGGCTTCCAACATCGAATTCTCTCGTCCTTGATCGTATCTTTGGTTTACATGGGAAGACCGCTCAGATATACTTTTGAAGGTTTAAAAGCGCCTATGGGCTTTGGGTGATATCTGTTGACCGCGAAACTACTTGGTTTTCGTCGAGCGAAGACGTCATCACGGGGGCGAAATAGGGACGAATTGAGAGAGCGAATCACCACCCTCTAGCTAAATATCTGCTCAGGTAGAATGACTATGGCAAACCAATCTTCGACGGGAAGTTTATACACCGTCGTCAACTCATCAAAGTGATATCATAGCGTCTGTCACAATATCGCTAAGGTATACAACATCGTTTGGCACCTACCGGTAGCCATCTGTATGAAAGACAACGTCGAAAGCCAGGGCGAGAGACTGTTCAATATGTCTGGTGGCTTGGGTTATCTTTTGACCCCACAGAATCCCTCAAGAACACAAATGACAGAGTCGATATGGCCAACACTCGTGGGGTGGCGACCGAGTTCGTCAAGAACGAATCAGACGTATGAACGTTGTTTCGATAAGCTCCTGTACGATGCTAAAACCCGAAGCCAAAGGTGCTTGGCCCGTTTCTCTTGATCTCCTAACTGTCGCTGTTCTTCTCTGGCACCATGCCGACGATGTCCTAAGGGACAAGCTCAATTACACCTCTTCCCGGGGCAAGCCGGCACCCTATCTTTGTCATCGTTATAATTATCGCCTTTGAACGTGCTGTTGATATCATTCGTCGTCGTCGTCGTCGTCGTCGTCGTCGTCGTGTTTGGCCTAGGAGCCCGTCCTCAGCCTCAAGTTATGGCGCGGGGTTTTGGTCAGACCTTATTTCAAAGTCCTGGTAAGTCGCGGACTTGATTAAGGAGCAGCTTTCGAACAAGAGTTGGGATGGGAGTGCCCCCGAAATGTAGGAAATTGTTAGGTGTCATCGACCTTCCCCCTGCGCAAGGTGAGGTTAATCAGCCTGACATACTCAATACAATTGACTGACGATTGTCAACTCAAATAAATCTATGAAATTTCCGCGGATGTCAAGTTAGCCATGTACTTGTCGGTAACACGACACTACCTGAGCTTCTGTCAAATATGTATGGGCTGATCACTGGCATTTGGTCGTACAAACTCGGACATGTACATTTCGCATGGAAGTTTCTGTATGATCCTCACCTTATGCGTTTCTGGCACTGAAAAAGGATGCAGCTGAACATTCAATTTTGTGGCACGTACGTATCTGCCTTTTATCTATGTGCGCCATGCATGCTAGGTATATCCTCCTCATATCACCGGCGAGAGGCCGAGGGAAGAGCACCAAGGACGAACATACCCATGCCCCGTCTAGTGCGTTATCTCCATTCCTATGCATGTTCTTTCGTGAGCAGAAGGAGAGAAATCGCATCCCACTCAAATCCCAATCCCGGAAGAGCGCCAAACCAAGAAAAGACCGTCGAGAGTCGATGCCGACCGTCGTTCTTATACCCAAACCTTTACTCTGGACTAGTACACACTACCCCTGATGCTTTTATCCTCTCTTTCGGCGCGGGCGAGATCGTCTTCGTCTGCCTCAGAACCTAGGTCGCTGCTGTGTGTATCGCCGAGGCGGTTCGCACGCGTTCCCTGCCGCATGCCGTTTTTCTCTAGTAGCTCGTCTTGCTGGCTCAATGGTGCTGTGCTGCCGTTCGTGTCGGTGTTCCCGTTCACGACATCGTTGCGACTTCCATTCACACCACTGCTGTCGCCGTTCGTGACAGTGGCCACCTTGATCTTCGTCGTAATAGCTGCAATCTGTGGTCTGTGACTGTCCTCCTCTGAAGAGTCGGTGTCGCTGCCTGCAATGGACGTACGTCCCGAGTAGGTACCGCCAAAGTCGCGGCCGACGTGGAGGTGCGGCGAAAGCATGCTTCGGAGACGGTCTTCGGCAGATATGAACGACGGGGTGCCATCCGGGGACGAAACGACCTCTTGGCGGGATCGGTTGACGTCGATCTGTGGGGGTCGGTTATCGTTGTCCTCGTCGGAGCTGTACCCTTGCTCGATTCGCTTCGGCCTACGGCCGGGCGCCGGTGACTGGTGGCGGGAGTGGCCGTTAGCAACGCCGTTACCGTTGGCGGCGGTCTCATCCTTCAGGCGGAGGGCCTCTAGATCTTCGCGTTTCTGGTAGTGGCTTTTGTGGTTGCATCCGTTAGGACAACCACCCCAGCGACGCGTCACGATGAAGGTCTTACTGCGCTCCAGTAGACTAGACGTCTTCACGTCCTTTGTCAACTTCTCTTGATTTCCCTCCACCTCGGTCCTCTCCTTTTCCTCTTTCTCCTTGAGTTGGGCCCGCTCCTTTCGGAGGTCTGACCACGTCCGGAGTTTGTTCTCGAGGATATATTTGCCGCTCTCTTCCTGCTTGCGCATGAGGAGGAACTCGCAGTGGTTGACGTTGCGGAGGTCTTCGAAATACTCGACAGTGAAGTGGTACCACTTCATAAGAAAGACGCGAGACATGAGACCGTGGGTGACTACAACGAGGGTTAATTTCTTCTACGAGCCTGTATCCAACTGTGTACTTACCGAGCACGCAAACACTGGCAAAGTCGTTTTCGCCAAACTGGCGCCACAGACTCTCGTTGAAGCCACTAACTCTGTCGTATGCGTCTGCGGCACTCTCGCCGTTAGGGATGCGGTAGAAAAAGTGGCCATAATCGGCACGTTCTTGCCACATGCGTTCCATCTCGGCGGAGCACGGCTGGAAGTTGCCAAAATCCTGTTCACGGAGGCGGGGCTCCTCATAGACTTTGATGTTGGAACGCTTGAAGGGCGAAGGGTCCTCCTCGTCCGACGTCAGTGTAGAGAGAATGCCCTCGGTCGTCTCGCGGGTGCGGCGGTAGGGAGAGGTGAAGAAGTGTAGGGTATCGTCGGCGCGCAGCAACTTGCGCAGGCGGCGTCCGGCGTCGTAGGCTTGTTGCCAGCCATCTTGTGTTAACTTCACACGGTGGTCGGGTATCGTCTGGTGAATGTCGCGGTTCTCTATGGCAGGATCCGGTTAGCAACCCGGCGGAAAAGGCCGTGATGCGGAGTACATACTGTTGCCTTCGGACTGGGCGTGTCTAATGAGAATAATGAGCCTCGGCTTGGCCATGATGTCTTGTCCGTACGGGTGGCGTTTGGCGAGGTCGTGATTTGTGTGCAGCAGTCGGTCAAACGGAGGGATGCGTCGGTGATGAAGAGGCGAAGAAAGGTGTTGCAGGCAAGGGTGTTATTCAAGAACAGGTTGACGGCGACGAAAATCAACGTCAGGTCGCAAGACAGTAGCGTTGAGAACCTTGTTGACCAGGGAGGGAAGTGTAAGGTAAGGTAAGGAGAGGAATGAGGCGGGGCAGGACTTTGTCGGATTAAAGGGAAACCTTGGGAGGGGCTGCCGTTGTATTTGTATCGCCTTATGCCAACCTTAACCTTACAGGCCGGGCCCGAGAGGGATGGTGCCTGTGTTAATAATGCGTCGACGTTTGTCAACCAACAGGTTTGGGGAGTTGAGATGAGATGAGTTTAGTTTAGGTACAAGATACGTAAGGTGTAGCAAGGAGTAGCTAAGAGTCACAAGATGGGAAAGGAGTGTGTGGGTGACCGTTTAAGAGTGCTGTCTGGGGGGAGGTTGAGTCTTAATTTTTATTTTAGATCACTGGTGTCTTCGATTTCGGTTTAGTACCTACGTACGACAGACTAAAATGCAAGTGTACTGCGGTAAGGTAAGGAATGGTACTCCGTACTGCACTGTACATCAATCGTTGGCGTATTGCCCCTCGTGTGACAGGTATTTTTGGTTCCTGTCCGCCTCCCGGCGGCATCCATTTGTGAGTCTGCAAAGCGGGAGGCGGTTTTTTTTTTGGGCGGGCCACGGCTTGTCTTCAATCTGAAGCCCTTGTCTTTCCGGGGACAGGTAGCCGAACAGGCCAAAGAGGAGACGCCCCTGGTTTCCCTCCTCAAGCGGGGTACATGAGAGCATGGATCACGTAGATGAACCAATGAGACGTCATTGACATAGCCAAGCAGCCGCTGTGAGACAGGGAATGCGCAGCCCCTGATTGGCGCACTGGCCCTCCGATAAGCGGCGAGGCTGTCTTGCCCCACCCTCGCGGCGGCATGGCGGCACTTGCACGCAGCATGCAAATTCCCTTCCAGCTTTTTTTTTTTTTTTTTTTTTTTTACCCTTACCAAGGAAATAGCGTCGCCCCAGTCAAGTTGCAGCAAAAAGACACTCAAACAGAATACTTCAAGGAATTGGTTGGATCACCCCATGCCTTGCTTACTTTCGTTGACCTGCCGTTCAACGACATTTCCCTAGCGCAACCTCAAGAATTGTTGGCCCCACGCCGAAATTCTGCATTCCCGTCGCGCCCTTCTGGCGTGGTCAGACGCGTGTGTGCCTGGCTGGAACCGCCCATTCCCATCACCGCGCCGTCATTCAATATCGTTCCCCACCTCGCCCGCACCCTTCCACATGCTCCTCAGCTCTCTTGCGGCTTGCAGCATCCATTGACGCGGGCAAACATACGAACAACAGCCGCTGCCGCCGCGGACCTCTCCTAGAGGCCTGGCTAGCCGCCGCATCATCCAACGAGCCACACCCAACACCGAACCACACCGGGTCTGACAATACTTTGCCGCGTGCGGTAGGTATCTCCAACCGCCAGCCATACCAACATCACAACCCCTATCCGTACACCATCAGACAGATAACCTGCTCGTACGGATACACATCTCTCTCGCGCCCGGCCGACTGCATCGCAGATCCTTCACTCGTTGCGTTCTGAGCCCCCGCGTCAGCCCATTCCAGATCTTGTCTCATTCCACAATCATACGATCCAATCTCAACGCGCCGCACCATCTCCAATACCCCGCAGAAACCAAAAAAAAATCGTACGCGCCGTATCTTCCATCTGTCGAAGCACCCGTCCATCGACTATCTGCAGCCATGTCCGGCGAAGGACCCGAGTCCATCCCCACTTCCGCCGACCATCGCAGTCGGCGTCCGGTGAAGAAGCGCGCTCTGACGCCCGTTTCGGAACACGCGAAGCAGCTCGACGCCCTCTTCTCCAAGCCTGACCAGGAGATCCGCATCCCCCCGCCCCCCGGTGCTGTGGCCAAGCGCGCCGTTGCCGCACCCCCCGAGATCGTCACCAATGTTCAAGGCTCCAGCGCCGGAGCTGGCTCGGGCGAGTTCCATGTTTACAAGGCCAGTCGCCGCCGCGAGTACGACCGACTGCGCGCCATGGATGATGAAGTCAAGAAGGAGAAGGACAACGAGGACTTTGAGCGCCAAAAGGCCGAGCGCGAGGCCAAGGACGAGGAGCGCACTCGCAAAAACAGGGAGAAGAGAGAAAAGAAGAAGCAGAGGGGGAAGAAGGGTCCTGCGGCCAAGGGACCTTCGGCGCCAAACAGTGGTGTCGGAAAGTCGACCGCGATCGAGACATCTACGGCCAAGGAAGTTGGCGATGCCAAGGAAAGCAAGGACGGCGGTGGAAACGAGGCGTCAGACACGGCAGCCGCCGCCCAGCCGGCCGGTCTGGTCATCCACGACGACGACTGATTCATCCGCGAGGTTCGCGAGCTTTGAGCTTTAAGCTTGGCTTGGCATCCCCAAAAATAACTTCAGATCAAACGGGTGGGTCCAGGATTGACAGACTGTGCAGTTACAGGAGACACAAACAGGCAGGGCCCCGAAAACAGCATCAAAGCTTTTTTAGATTCCTGAGAACAACGTCGTCGTCTAGGTATTTCTAATCCCATGTCTATGCCTTGCTATAGGGTATGACCTCTTTTTTCATTCATCATCTTTCCTCGCCCACGTACAGCTTCCAATCCCCCTCCAATCCCCAGAATACCTATCCGACTAACGTCACCAGACATCTCATTCGTCACCACCTCCATGGAGGCCGTTGCCCATTTGTGCAGCCTTTCTCGCGCTGCAAATGTCATCGACTCTGAGAAGCAAGCAGGCAGCCTGTATTATAAGTGTTAGTTGTACTGTAAAAGATACCGTGTAAGAATTGCAGACGTAGATGTTGCATACCTCGATAGCCGTCTTGATGCTTTGCAACTTGATGGCCTCCGGCTCCCAGACACCATACTCCTTCATGTCTGCAATCACGCCGCTGTCTCCGTTGATACCCCAGGAGTGCTTGCCCTCGGCGTGTTTGGCGCGCAAATCCGTCAGGACTCTGACGGGGCTGGCACCGGCGTTCTGTACCAGGGTGCGGGGAATAACCTCGAGCGCATCGGCGACAGCCTTGTACGGCCACTGCTGAACACCCTCGACACTCTTTGCAAGTTGGCTCAACCGCACCGCGACGGCCATTTCGGTCGCACCACCACCAGGGGCGAGTCTGGGGTTGAACATGACGTTACGGGCGACACCCATGGCGTCCTGGAGGTTGCGCTCAATCTCGTTCAGCACGTCCTTGGACGGGCCTCTGAGGAGTACTGTGCAGGCCTTAGGGTTCTGGCACTTGGTGAGGAAGGTGAAGTACTCGTCGCCAATCTTCTCAATCTCGAACAGACCGCAGAGGGTACCGACGTCGGAGTCCTGGATGTCGTCGACGCGGTTAACGATAGTAGCGCCGGTGGCTCTGGCTATTCTGTTGTTGTCCGTCTTGCGCACACGGCGGATAGCGGTGACGTTGGCCTTCAGCAGGTAGTGCTGGGCGAGATCTGCAGAGTGTTAGCCGCTACCTTCGGAAACCAACCTCACAGCTGCTTACCTGAGACACCCTTCTCGGTGATGACCAAGTCGGGCTTGTGGGCGAGAACAGATTCGCACATGGCCTTAACCTGCTCCTCCTCAATCTCCAGGATGCGGTTCCAATCTTCCTCCTTGGAAATCTCAATGTTCGTTTGCGACTCGCCCTTCTTGTACTCCAGGGGACAGTCGAGGAGGATAATTCTGGGGTTTTCTATTCTCCGGCGCATCTTGGGGTGGGTGATGTCTTTGTTAAGCATCACACCGTCCAACACTTGGCTGTCCTCGATCTCGCCTCCGGGAACCTTCTCCACACGCGCGTAACGTTTGATGTCAACCTCGGTCTTTCCGTTGCCGACTTCCCACGTAACAGTGCGGACAGCCCTCAGAGCAAGGTCGCACATCAAGTCTGACCATCTCGAGACGAACTTGGTGCCGATAGAGGAGGAGATGAGGCCGCGCATGGCCTTGTCGTCGTTGACGTCGATGGGAAGGGAGATGTCGTCGACGATCTCGAGGGCGTCCTTGAGTGCCCGGCGGAAGGCGGCGATGATCTGGACGGGGTGGATGTTTCGCTCAAGCTGGGGCAGGGACTGGGCAAGGATCTCACCAGCTGCTTTGGTTCAGTATTCGTGTGCTTGGTAAGCATTATGTGTGCACCCGGGGCACTCACCCATGATAATGACTGTCGTCGTTCCATCGCCGACTTCCTCGTCCTGTGTCCGACTAAGCTCGATCATGCTCTTTGCTGCGGGGTGGGAGACTTCGATCTCTCTAAGGATGGCGTGGCCGTCGTTGGTGAGAACGATGCCTCCCATGGGGTCCAAAAGCATCTTTAACATGGCCTTGGGGCCCAGGCACGATCGAATAATGTCGGCGACACTGGCGATGTGGGGTCAGTTGGTTCGTCCAGCAAGGCAATCGAAAAGGAGGCATACGTCTTGGCGGCAGCGATGTTGGACATCTGAGCCTTGCGACCCGTCTGCCGCTCACCGCTTTGGGTGTCTGTCGAGGCATACTGGTTAGCACCTGTTTGTAACATGGGGGTAGCTCGTCAAATTCTGGGAAGGAGGGGCTCTTTCATACTCATAACTAGCACTGGGGCCTGCATGATGGGCGGCGACGAAATCGAAAACTGAGTAAAAAGTTCGGTCCGTCAGGTAGATAGTTGTTTCGGCGAGGAGCTTCACCGTGGCGAGGGAAGTCGTGGAGATGGCGGGGGTGTTGCTACCTTGCTGCTTGCTCAAGGCACCGGGCTTCTAAAAAGTTCGCTGGCGGGTTTGTTTTTTGGCGGGATGAAGCTGGAGCACGGCAGAACCTATTTCCCGGGATACTTCACCGAGCTTCACCCGGCTTCTGGCAGACTGAGGTACACCGAAGTGGCCCACTTTAAGTATTGCTTCTTCAGACGTCTCGTCTTGATTTTTCCCGTCCATCATTTGGCATCATTTTCAAAATCGTGCATGTATTACTGTTCTGAAAATAATCGCCGTTTAATCAACTCCTTGCTCTCTGTCCTATCGGTCCCTAAAGAGCCACCCAGTGATGAAGTGCTGTTAGAAGCATGACCAGGCTGCAAAACACAAGTACTGTGGCTTGTTCTTAGCAAGCTCACCATTTCAGCTCGTTTCGAAGCCCTGAACTGGGTGGTCGATGGTTCGTGTGGCCCGCGAATCTAGCGTCGGGTCGACCATTAGACCCATACGATCTGCGAGGAATCTGCGCAGGAACAGAGGACAGCAGCCGAGGGTCTGTCTGTGTCCAAAGTTGCTGCCCCGGAGCTGAAGGGGCCACATTGAGCCAGTCGCTCCTGAATATGATGTCCACGACGCAGTTCTTTCTGGCCATGGCCTTCTGTAGCGATATCCACCGCATTCTGTCCTCGTTTGCCGCACGTTGGACGCGCTCCCAGAATTCGTGTTTGCGCTTGGATACGGTCTCGGCCTTGAGCCGACGGTCACTTTCTTTCCATGGAAGTCCGGTCACGGCTGCAGCCGAAAAGAAGTCTTCCACAAAGTTGTGGCCTGGGATGTAGTCCGCCTTACTTTGCGTCACAAATAGCGCGATGCCATCTTTGCTATACTCCAGTCGGAGCGAGTTCGACGCAACATCGCCGGGAGCCTGTGATTGCCAAGGACTTGGTAACACGGTGACTTTATCAGCTGGCACTGCGATCTTGATGGATGATTGTGGCATCGGATCGAGTTCGCAGGGAGCTGCACCATGAATGTCCACCAGAGGTCTGGAGATCTCGATACATAACCATCTGCGCTTCATTCCTTCGACGTCGGTCCTGTATGGGTTTAGGGGCGGCTGATATGCAGAGCACAAGTGTACTCACATGTAAAAATCAGTCAAAGAAACCGACTCGTCATTGCCATGCCGAAAGGACATTTCGGTGTTGAGGTTCTGCCAGTACGGGTCAGAGGCTTGAGTGCCTATACGGGGTCCAAAACTCTTGGTGCTTGTGCTGTCCTGTGTCTGGAAATGAATCGACTGAATACTTCGCCGTTGGTAGCCATTCATGTTCATGGACCTCTCTTGGAATGAGCTGAAGTCCATTCCCGGCTGCAGACCTTGTCGTCCTTGCCGCCATTCAACTGCCATGATCTGGCCGGCCCGTCGTCGAGACGTCATGCCCTGTATGGTATGTGGCTTCTCGTTGTACGCGTTGAGCACATTTCTCAGCCGGATCTCGGACATTTCCCTGGAGTCTGTGTTCAGCACGTGCTCGCCTGCACATCCGGGTGATCTCAATCACTTACACAAAAGGAAGTCTCGCGTGGTAGTGTGTGCAACGCTTATTGCCGTCCTCTACCTTTTCCGCTATTCTCGTAACGTGTAGCTTGTTTCCTTCATCGTACGCAGTCGGTTGGTTTCGTCGTCCCCTCGATTGGTTTTTCTTATTGGCCGTCGCCTGGGCCTCTTTTTGCGTAAGCGCGATGGGTAATCCAAGAGACAGATCGGCCAGATCAAATCCACCAATCTTCATAGCATGGCCAGGAGACTCATTCTGACAAAGGTTGGACCTTTGAAACTGAAGAGCGTCGTGTTTTCTTCTTCTCTGGCATGCGAGGCCAACGCCTAGAAGAAGCCTCTCTCGTATGCTCATGCGTTGATGGAAGCCTGGCGTCGCCGATAGGTCAAAGGCTGCGATAGCGGACGCATCGATGTTCGGCGGACTCCTGGATTGATGTACAATGCCTGTTCGATAGGTCAGTTTCCAAACTAAATAAGAGTATGAGAAAAGGCTTCTCACGATGGAAGGATGGCCCTTGGAAAAGCGGTCTCGGATTCAATTGATGGGCCACGAGTCTTTCTTGTTCATGTTCAGAATCGGGCACATTAGGCACAACATCTCTCCACGCACTCGAGTTCGCGATTTTCATTGTCGCGGTCTTCTCCGGCTCTGGTAGCGTATCTTGCCGAGTCTCGGTCGGTGCCCGCGCACCGTCTGTCGTGAGTCCGATAGGAGCGCTATTGAGATATTTTATTCGTCTTCTTTTATCTCGGGTGAGGTAATTGCTCTCGTTTGCAGGTCGCTTTTGGCCTCTGATTCGACGCGATGCCATGCCGTAGAAGTTCTGCCGAATTATATCTCTGTTGGTCGCAGGGAAGTGGGACAGAGATGAAAGAAACTCGGAAGGCAGGAAGGGGGGTTTCGCGAGATCCAAGTGGAAGAAACGGTCAGTTGTCTGATCAGTCGTCTGAGCTTGAGATTCGTTGAGGTCGTTGTTGGTGTCGTAGGTGGTTGTCGGCGAGGCAAGCATAGCCGGCCATTATTAGTTGACGACGCGCGCCATGGGCAGGCAGTATTAAAGCGCAGAAAGAAGTTGCGTTTCACCAGGCAAATAGATGAAATATATGAGAAGATAGAGGCACTCAAGGAGAGAGCTGAGGTGACAGCGGTAGCCGAAGGAAGGCGACAGACAGTGTTATTAGGTAGTTGCGAATTACCTCGGAACAGGTTTGGTTCGCGCTGGAGGCAATCTCGACGTGCCTAAGGTCAGGCAGAACTTGACCACTCCGCGAGATTCGGCGGTCATGCAGTCCAGGCAGGTCCCTCAACGCGGGCTCTTTCCCAATAGCGAAGCAACGCTAAGCCGAGAATATCTCGACCAAGTGGGAAAAGAGCCCCGATACAAACATTCGCCAAGACTTCCGTCCATCCAGTGATAGATAGGTAGATAGATACCTGTTATTTTCCCTTTCGAAGGAGTTCAAGTGCACGAAAGCAACATTACAGAAACTGCCTTACGGCTTGTATTTCATCCAAGTTATTAGGAACTGAAAGTTGATGGACCTCCGTATCGTATTCACTTCCCTGGTACTGACGAAAAGTCACCGCACATTCAATCGTTCTCGGTAACATCTGAACCCGTCCTAGGAAGCTCAGGTCGAATCTTAAATCGACCCCAAGGACCCTTCTCAAGCCTTTCGTTGCATCACATGGGCCCTACCCGATGATGTTTCTTTTGCTTTGGAATAAAAAAGGCACCATGTGCATTCATCATCCTCTAGGCTACCTTAGCCAACGGCAGCTCTGCTCGTCCACAGCCAAAGTCAAAGAGAAGAGAAAGAGAAGAGAAGCTAATGTGTAATTCTGAACGGCTCACGTCCTCCGAATCAAAACCCTCCTTTCTAAGGGCACGCCTCTATGATGGTATCCGCCTCAAAACAGTAGTACATGATGGGCAGAAAGAGCACCACAATTTAGTCATGCTAGACCCATTTCATACATATCCCGTAAACGCCGCCCCCATCCCTATGACGCATGCCCTACGAATGTTGACCCCTTTTTCGATTGTTGTGTTGTGTCGATACCAGTGCTCTTGCGCGTTGGTGACAAGTCAGTGTCTGCTTATGACCTTTTCGTCTTCGTCTTCGCCCTGGTTTGCTTTCTTGTTTATCAGAAGAACTTCGACATGGCTCTGCTGAGGTCGATAAAGTCGACAGGCTTCGTGACGTAGTCGCTAAATCCGGCGGCCACGCACTTATCTTGAACGTCAGACATGACGTTGGCCGAAAGCGCAATGATGGGCAACTTTTTGTAACCCTTCTCCTTCTCCCATTGTCGGATTTCGCGGCAGGCCTGGTATCCGTCCTTGCGTGGCATGTGCAAGTCGCACTGCAATGAGTCAGCCATGTCAATCGTCCAAGAGGGCAATGTCCTTACCAATATCAGGGAGTAATAGTTGTGAGAATGGGAAAAGACCATATCGGTGCACTCGGCTCCGTCTGTTGCCACTTCAACCTCCACACCAACCTTCTTCAAATATTTCTTCAACACCTTTTGGTTGACGGGATTGTCCTCAACCAGTAGCACCTTATATCCCTTATTGCCCATACGCTTTTCGATCTCCTGGTAGCTAGCCTTCTGAGTTTCCACCATTCTTTGCGCCGTAGATCGGTTCCGGTCATGGCTCAGATCGCGAACTTTCTCTGGGTCGAAGATGACGGCGAATCTAGACGGTTTCACTGGCTTGTAGATAAATGTAACCAGGTTCTCGGAAACCAGTTGCTCGTACTTGGTGTCGGCTGCTAGCCTCATCACTGCCTGTCTTTGGACAGAATCCGAGAGAATGAGGATCGTGGTATTACTGATCGTCGTCGATTTTATAATACGCTCCATCAAACCGATGATCTCCTCAGGGGAGGGAAGGTTAAGAACGATGTGTGTGAAGTTGACAGAATCATCGCCACCCAACAGCGCCTGTGCTTTGTCGACGGAGTCAAGCGCCGTGATCTGGTGAGGTACGTCCTTCGGAAGGGTCGTTTCGATGTGTTGCGCGGTTGCCTCACGACTATGCGTTTGTGGGCAGATGATGAGGATTGAGTACATCGGAGGTCTGAATTCATCATTTTTGTTGTTGGATGTCTCCGGCGTAGGGGTTGTGCCTGGTGACGTCTCGGCAGAAGGGAGTTCGAGTTTCATCTGCGACAGGTCTTGGCCGCTTGCTCTGGCGGCCTCGCTGAAATGTACGAGACCGACGTTGACCGAAGAAACCGACGTGCGCCCGGTGGCATGAGATATGCTAGAGCGCACTGAGGGATCCGAGCTTCCGCTAGAAGCAAGAGCCGGCGATACGAACTCGGGATCGGTGCTGGGACTTGGCGATGTGGTCTTCGGTGGCGGTTGAGTCTTCCTGCCAGGCCGCAAAACAGTAACATCCTCCGGAGATTTAATGACGGGCTGGAAAATTTGTGGACTAATCGGGCCGTCGGGATGGTCGGATTGTGTTGGGAGAGCAAACCTGGCAGTAAACGTGAAGGTCGAGCCTTTGCCAGGAACCGCAGTACCTTCCATCTTGCCTCCGTGGAGCTCGACAAGCTGTCGAGAAATCACCAAACCTAGGCCGCTTCCTCCATGCTGCCTGGTGCTGCTTCCATCGATCTGGCTGAAGGGTTTGAAGATTAATTCGGCCTCCTCCTTGGTAAAGCCTCGGCCGGTGTCAATAACTGCGAACTCGAGCATGATCTCGTTCTTGTCAGCGGCCGGCTGGTTGTCGGTAAAGATTCTGCATCGGCTGAACACCTCGCCTTCGGCAGTAAACTTGATCGCATTGCCGATAACGTTGAGTAGGACTTGGCGAATCCGAACCTTGTCACCCTTGACCCAGGCGGGCACGTCCTCCTCGACGATGTAGTTCAGCTCGAGTCTCTTGGCAATGGCCATGGTGGACACCAACTCGTTGACATCTTCAATCAGGGAGCGAGTATGGAACCATTCAAACTTGAGCTTCATCATGCCAGCGTCGACCTTGGACAGGTCCAGGATGTCGTTGATAATCATGAGAAGGCTGTTGGCACTTGTTTGAATGGTGTTGGTGTAGTCACGCTGCTCCTCGTTCAGTGTCGTGTCTTGCAGGAAGCTGACCATGCCGGAAATGCCGATCAGAGGGGTTCGGATCTCGTGAGACATGTTGCTGAGAAACCTGCTCTTTGACTCCATGGCTTCTTTCAGTTTGGCTTCAAGCAGCTTGTGGTCGTTGATATCCGTCGCGGATCCAAAATATGAGCTAGCACCATTGCCAAAGTCGATGTTGTCAATTTCGACACACCGAATCAGGTGCCACCTGTATACGCCATTCTTGGATCGCAATCGAACCTCCGTCGTGTAAGAGAGCCTGCCGTTGCTATCGGTGGTCACCTTTATGATGCCCTTTCTTGCCAACTCTGTAAGATCTGCAGTCGGCATCTCGTAGACCGAGCTGCTGCTAGAGCTGTTGTTCCGTGACAGCGCTTGGTGTATTCCCCTCAGGTTGGTTTCCAAAAGACTCTGACCCTTTGCGATCGACGTGGGGCTAGTGAATGCCGCCTCAAATGCCGATGATTCTTGCTGAGTCTTTCGATCGAACTTTGCAGGAAATGGCGTTGGCGGTCTGTCTGTAGGAATCTGGCACTTTGCCAGGTCGTCAGGGTGCACGAAGTCCATGAAGCCAAGCCCAAGAGAATCCTCAAAGCTCTGACCAGTGTACGACAACCACTGTTCGTTCGCAAAAGTAATACCTTCGTCCTCGGTAGCGGTGAAGATGATTTGAGGGATCAGATTTGCAAGAAGTCGATGCTTGGCCTCGGATGCTTCGATCTCTTCCTGGCGAGCAGCTTTAAGCTCGGCAATGTGCTGGTCATGGATGTCCATGTAGGATCCAAGGAACTGCATCATGACACCTCGCTTATCACGAGACGCAACAGCGCGAGCATAGAACCACCGATAGGCCCCATCGAAGCGTTTAATGCGGACTGTCCTTGAAAATTGTTCGCCCGTCCGCAGTGAGTGACCCCATGCCTTCAAGTATTCGTCCCTGTCATCAGGGTGAATACTGCCCCACGGGTCGGCGGCGAGGTCCGACACTGTTTGGCCCCGGTATGTCAAGTAGCGGCTGTTGACCCATACAATCTCGCCTGTCTGTGGCAGAGATACGAACACGTGTGCGGGAAGGGAGTCCAGGATGAGCCCCTTCAGACGGTCTGATGGCGGTGGCATGTCGACTGAGCCAATGGTAACAGAACCTGCTCTAGTCGGTGCGTTGTAGGGCACTGGCTTACTGACCACGCTCGAGCTGGGGGGCAGCGACTGGAAGCTTGTCGCAAAGTCGGCGCCATAAGAGTGTAAAAGGGTGTGCTGGCCGGGTTCTGAGCCTTTTTGTTCGACGGGCTTCATGCGCGGTTCCAACACGGCAATCTCGTGCAAATAGTTTTGAAGCTCGTTAGAAAGAACACGCTTGACACCACCAGGCGTCGAGACTCGGCTTTCCGTGACCTTTTCCGCGGGGCCTTCGCTTCCACCCGACCCGTTGGTCTCACTTGGCGATGGAGGTTCCTGTTCAACCAATGCCGAAGTTCTATTTCCCGCGGAAAGACGAGCTTGTCTCCTGTCGACCGGCGAGTTGTCCTTCGAAACGTGTCTTGTCTTCTGTGAACTCGCCGCAGAATGCTCTGCCTTTGAGAGAAAAGACTTTTGCTTGGTGCTGAAGTAACTGTCGCCCCCGACCTGAGCAGGGCTGGTCGCGGGGCCTCTCTTATCTACGACCTGGTGCAAAGAACCATGATCCCAGCTGGGTGTGCCAATGGGGGACCCAGCAGCGCTTTTGGAAACGCCAGAATAATCACTCGGGCTCGTAATGCTGCCTGCAAGTGAGCGTTGGGCAACCACGTCCTCGGCTGGCAGGTAGCTTAGGTTACCGATGCTAGCAGGATCTGCCAAGGGACGTCCATCGGCAGCGATGGCACCGAACCCAGCAGTGTGAGGTCTCCGGCGGTTCAGTCCCGAGAGCTCTGTCTCCAAATTGGTGTAATGACGACATAGAGAGAAAGAAGTCGCCAGGTGCGGGGCGAGGTACTCCAACGAATGGCGAAGGTTTGAGGGATATGGGATGATCGGGCTGAGTATCGAAAGGATGGCGATGGGCGATGGTTTATCTTTTCGCTGCCAAGAAGTGCCAGGTCCATCGTTCTCCCCCAAGCCCTCTGGGTTTTCGCTCTTATTCCGGTTGTGTGTCTTCTGCTCCATCACGGTTGTATCAAGCTTGAAGGGATGAACAGGCTTGGAAAGGAGCAGATGTGTCAAAGGAATGTGGAGAACAGTCCATGAGTTGTCCACGCCAATGGCCTCGGGGGGTCGCATTCCAGCATAATCTGCCGGGGCAGACCCGGGATTGAAGGAGTCCTCATCGACCATGGCGTCTGTGAAGAAGGGATTTTCGTTCGGGTCGGCACGAACTGCTGGGGATGGGGCGGGAGACTGGGACCACGGAGATGGCGGAGCTTGCTCGAACTCTTCGTACTTGGGAGTCGGTGGCCGTGGCTCATCATCTTCAAGTCGTGATATCATGCTTGAGGGAACGGGTTTCTCGCCACCCTGGCTGCGGCCCAAGCTTCGTGGAGGGTTTGCACCCCCTAGTATGGTCGACAACTTGGAGCTCGAGTCCATCCTGGCCTTCTTCAACTTCTTTCTCCCCGCGTCCGTCGGAGTCGGCTTTGTCGCGGGAATGGGTCTGCCCATGGGGTCCTCTGGCAGATTTTGCAAATACGGGTAACTTCTTGTCAGCGCAATCACCTTTCCCCTTTCAAGAACACGCATGACGCCGCTGTGATCGATGAGAGGATCGGCTTCGTAGTCCAACGCTTGGAGGACAGGAAGCACCCTGCCTTGCACATCGGGATTTGCGACGAGAGGGACCTCCCAGCTGGGCACGTGTCCCTCCTCGGCGTCGTGCTCGTCCAGTGCTGTCTTGTTCAACGGTGGACCCGATGGTTCTTGGGTGTCTTCGACGGATGGCCCAGGAGGAAAGTAGCTCTTGCTCCTGCCGAGCCCCGTCGGTCTGCGCGACGGCAGAAGCCTCTCGTTGTTCGCTCTCTTCTCTCGGTTATCTTCGTAAGTGGTAAAGGAGTGGCGAGTCTGAAGGCTGGGCCGCGACTGCAGTCTTGGCCGCAGCGGATCATCAGGCGTTGAGATGTCTTCAGGGGCAAAGTCGCCGACACTGCTGGGGATGAGGCTGCTACCCCTAGCCATATAGCCGAGGCTCAAGTCGTCCTCCTGGTGTTCGTTGTATGTCGCCTTCTGACCCCAGGGCACATTCTCAATGTCAGTCGAGTCAGCGGGCACCGCAAGTGTCACTCTTTCCGCCTTGTAAACGTCCCTCATGATCTGGACGACGGTGTTCCACCACGCATCCAGTCCCGGCTCAGCGCTGAGCATTAGTGATAAGTCATATAGGTTGGGACTGGGAAAGTCTCCATCCAACTGGCCGGTGGCGCCGGCAGGGAGAAAGGTAAGCGCTGAAGCAGGAGTTGATGAGCCAGAGAGAACCTTGTCTTGAGCGGCGCCAAAACCCTCGAAGGACATGGTTTGCGACATGAAGGCAGCGGCGGTTGGCGACATGTTGCCAAAAGCTCGACTCATCGGGTTCGGTCCATAGCCCGGCGTTGACATGCGCGGAAAGGGATAGGACGGAGTGCCGGCAACGAAACCCGGAGTGATGCCGCCGCGAATCGTGTTGCCCGATTCGGTGGAAGTTGTTGTCAGGCCGGATGATGTCGTCGCGAGAGATGAAGCCGGGATCTGTGGCGAACAGCCACTTTCCTCTGGGATTGGCGACACACGTATTTTTTCAGGCGTCGTCGCCGTCAAGCCCCTTGTCGCCATCTCGCGGCGCTCCAGGTCGCGTGCCAAACGTTCCCGGTACCGGTTCAGCTGTATCTGGGATTCTGATAGGGGAGGCTGCGTGACGGTGTTGGACCCCACGCTCTCGGCATCTTTGCTTTTTTCTTCTTTACCGCTTGTGCCACCTGTAACGTCATCGCCAGCGTGGGGCGCGCCCAAGGTGCGCCTTTGAGTGGTATCCGGGCTAGCAGGGCCAGGACTCGCAACGGCCGCGGCGGAGGATTCGAGTTGCGCCTTGGAGCGATCAGTCAGAGACCGAGCAGACTGCTCCTTTGGGACGTTAGACATTGCGACACGAGCATTTCCACCAGATGTAGAAGATTCATGGGTCAGTCCATGACGAAGACTCGGCAGGTTCAGCGATGGGCCTTTTTCCTTGGTGGGCGACTTTTTCGCTTCGGGGGTGGTTCGTCGTGGAAGGCTAAGCCGACGCGCAGAGGACGGGTCTTTCTTGTCTACTGGAAGGCTCGTGCTTGGCATTCCTCACGAAGTAGAGCGCCCCATGTACAAAGTGATCGTGAGGGTTCGAAAAGGCGAGTTGTGGTGTCGGTTCGTCGGTGAGCCGTGCGGGATCTCGAGGCGGGAACGGCGTCGTCGAGCGTCGAGTGTCGAACGAAACAATCGAGTATTCAGCAGACCGCGAGGGGTTTAGGCGGGGATGGGAGGCGTTGAAAGCGGAACGGGTGCGCTCTCGAAAAATCGACCGACGAAGTTGTGGTGCGGAGGAGTAGATGCGAAGGTCAACCCGCCGAGAAGTGCTGTAGTGCGGTGCGGTGCGGTGTGATGTTGGGTGGTTGTGGTTTAGGTAGGTTAGATTTGGATCGGTACCTCTTGGTGGTGGTGGTGGTGGTGAGGTAAGGTGGGCGAGTGGTATGGATGGGATGTGCGTTTGGACTGAAGTGGAATGGGCTGAATAGCAAGTAAGGTATGGGAATTGGACTAGGAACCAGGACTGGGGGGTTGCTCCTCAGTCTTGCATCGGGCCTGTCGGTGACGGTGGGTTTGGGTGGTGGAACGGGGCAAGGAGCAGAAAAAGAAGAAAGAAAAAACCGAAGCGACAGCGGTAAGATGGCGTGCAGCGCGAGTAACGAGCAGAAATCCAGGGAGAGATTATTCAGAGGATAGCAGGCAAAAGAAACAGAGCCAGCGACTGAGGCAGAGGCAGAGGCAGAGGCAGAGGCAGAGGCAGAGGCAGAGGCAGAGGCAGAGGCAGAGGCAGAGGCAGAGGCAAAAAAGGCAATGGCAATGGCAACGGTAATGGCAAAGCAAGACGGGGAGATTGAGAAACAGACGGAGGAACAAGAAAGGAAAGGGTGGGAAGCCCCGTTCAGTCAGAGTGTTCCTGCTTGATGACGTAGTTTGGAGATGGAGCTGAAGACAATGGAACCTCCCCTCCAGGTAGGTAGGGTGGGAAGGCACCTTGGCCGACCTCTTAATTAGGTACTTCCCGTCTTACCTTTGGTAGCCATATAAGCTATCTCTATGCGTATTGTCTTCCTATGTAGGTACGGGGCGCTATCTTGTTCATTAACGCCTTTTGTTGCCTCCTTTTATTCGTCTTTTTAAGGTGGTAGAATCAATTCGCGATGACCTCCTCCTGGTTGACGGGTTTGTGGACAGGGGGAGGGGCAGAGAAGGCTACCTGCGTACTTCTACCTTGAGGTGACCTGGTTATGGGCAAAAGGGGAAAAAAGAAAGGAAAAAAAAAAAAAAAAAAAAAAAAAAACCGCCAACGGGTGCTTACGGGGAAAAATACTGGGTTGTTTGTTGTGATCCTGGCACGACCACAACCACAGACCAAGGTACGACTGACTGCAGACTACTACGAGTCCTAATGCTCATCTTCCCGGCCACGATCCAGCGCACTGCGCTTCTCACAGCTCGCTTACGTCCCGGCTAGGACGATAGGTTTGTTCCTGCGCCGTCTCCAATGGGCATCAGTCAGCCCGTTCACGAACAGACGCGACAACCAAGTCTCCTTCTACACGCAGAGGTTCATTGCACATACTGAAGTATCGCGCTGTGAGAGTGAGGGGAAGGAAAACACCAGCATACAACGGTGTCAACGCAAGTCGCGGTACCGTCGTACCTCACGTGTACCTGCCCTGCCCTGGTTGGAAGTGGACCGGATTACATCAACGAGTAGTTACGTACTTATTTTCCGTGACCCGACCTCAGGTCCACTGTTCAGTCCCGTCCAGGTCGTCTATACTGGCGGGGGCTCCACTTGCACTGGCTGGCAGTCGCTGACTCTCTGTTCGCGTTCAACACCATCACCTGCCTGCCACCTGCGTCCACGGTCTGCTTCTGGCGTGTCACCAGAAAGCCGTCCCGATTCTTGATTCTCGATTTTCCCGTCCCGTCCAATACCCCTGTCTTCCGTTCCGTTTCTTCCAGGCTACGACATGGTCCGTGGTCTCACGATACGGCAGCGGGCGGGAGGGGATGGGATCCAAGGTGACCGAGAACGGCGGTCAGCAATCTCGTACTTCAAGCTTGGGCAATTGACAAGAGATGCCCTTCTGCAGTTTCGCGGATCCGACTTGCCTTCGTCTCGACCTCGGACCAGCACACACGCAGTCCCGGGCTGCAATTACACATCTCGGAGCCCTCTCTGGCGGTCTCCATCGGATGCTCTCCGCCGTTTCAATTCCAACTCCACGACTCCCGTACTGAAGCAACGGAGCCCACTCGCACTCGGCCGCTTTCATGGCCAGGAACCCCAAACCTGGCCTCCTTCTAACGTCCGCCCTGCCTAGCGTAGCGTACACGAGGTGAGCCGCCAAACACCTACCACCGGTCGCTCCTGGTCCTGTTGGCCCGTTCGAACTCTCCCCGGACCATGATGCCTTCGTCCAACCTCCAAGGCAGAGGCAAGTTCATGACTCTCGAGACCCTCGACAACACGATATCCGTCGCCGCGCCGTATGCTTGCAAAACGTCCCAGACAATTTACGGCACACGGAACATCTCATGCCAGCCATCAGACGGACTCGTCCACGCACCCGGCCCGACTTCAGCCACGGTCAACGACGCGGCCGCCCGCCAGGGAAAACAACACCATGCCTCACTTCCAGCCGGTTTCCTGCTTCCGTTCCTTGCGCCAGCCACTAGGTAAGGTACGCAGAACACAATGTCCGGATCGCCCTGCCTGTCCATGCCATGTCCCCGTACCTCGAGGTACCTACTTGGAGACACTCTAAGCAGGAATGCGAGCCTCCAATACATTGAATTTTGATGAACTCTATCCCAGTTGCCCACAAAAATCCCAAAACGCCATGCAACTCTGAAGCCAGACACAACAAGTAGGCAGTGTCCGTACTCATCTACGGACAAACATGGTGTCGATGAACATGATTGTTTCGGACCTCACGTGTCCTATCTCGCATCGTCACGCGGCAGGTCGACCTTTTACTTCCCGTCTCGTGCTTTTCAGCTGCCTCCACTCCCGCCTTTGTTGCCATTACATTACTCCGTGCCTCGCGACGGGCTGCCTCGCGAGCCATCACAGAGCAAGGTCTACCAGGCAATATCAAAATGACGGTGATCAAGTGACAAAGCTCTCGCCCCGTCTCCCCGCCACAGACTTGGTATCGGACGACATAATTCGGTCACCCTTCGACGCCGCAGCGGCGACCAACCAACACGTGTGTGCTGCATGCCGCAGTAGGTACATCTCGGTTGTGGGGACGGCCGTTGAACAACCTATGGAGCCCCACAATCACCGGGTACGAGATTGGGATACGCCCTAGGAGACGGTTGAGTTGGAACCCCCGAGGGAACATCGTGAAGACTAGTTGCAGCCTCACTTTGAAGCCTGTTTCCTCGGCGCCCTTTTGCTCCAGAATTCGACGCCGTTGTTTGAAGATAATAGGCTCCTTGTTGCATGAAGCTAGGGTCACTTGGTCAGGCAGTCAAGCCCTATCTACCTACCTTAGGTAAGGTAAGATAGTCAAGACGCTGATATCTAAAGAAGGCGGCCGGCCAGAGGTCGCACGTCGCCAAAGTGCCAACAGGCGGAGAAAAGCCCCGATGGCTTTTAAAAGTGGCTGGGACGCCGCAAGCCAAGCTAAGGTACCCAAGACAGGGTAACGTCTCTCGGAAGGTGTACAAAGCTGACTACTGGGCGGTTTGGGGTTGCGAGAGATGGCTTGTGGCTGGACTACAACAATCCTGCCACCTTTCCCACCATTATATCGAATGGATGTTATTTTTCTGGTTCTCCGGGCTCAGTCGAAAGGGGCTCTGCGATAGAGTTCAATCTTTCTCGCGGTCTCTCTTTCTCTTCTCTCCTCTCAATTAGAACCCACGACTTACGACACGTTCACATGTACCTTAGAGAGATAATGCTGGCGAGTTGGGTCCTGTCTCCAGATCTCCAGACGCTTTTAAGGAAAGCAATGGCATGATTCAACCTCCTCCAGTTGGCTGCTTGAGTCGTTCCTGGAAGCGTCTCACGGCAACGGGCACAAAATTTGGAGCTAGTGGCGGACGCGGCTCCGAAAGGCAGCAGACGGGAGCTTACGGACTTCTGACTGCGTGGGCAGCAATAAAGTCCTGAAATCGATGCGGCCCGGGCAGGCTCTCTGAAGCCCCCGTGAGGCGTACGGAGTACCTACCTGGGACCTTGTCTTCTGCCACCTCAGCCAACGCATGACCTTTAAGACCCCTGAAGCATGTTTGTGCCACGCTAGGTAGCTGCGTGCCAAATGACGTCAATATACACCACTGACGTGGAAGCTGTTTTTTTTCTTCTGTCTTTTTTCCTTTTTTGAATGGGTATCCTGGCCCGATGAATTGGGAAATAGAACATTTAGATGGCTCTTCTGGACATACAAACGGTGCCTACGTATCTGCTAGTCTCGATCCTTGCTTGGATCCCCCCCCCCCCCTCTTGTTTTCTAGGATGGATTTTCTTCTTCTTCTGATCTTCTCTCGTTGGCGGTCTTTCTCGGCCGACGGCACGGATGGGCATTTGCAAAATTTGCAGTCTTAGATTCGTGCCAATGTTCTTCTTCCCAAGCGGCTTCCCGGCAGGCATCGTCCCATGATGATCACCTCCACTGGCGCTTGCGGGAGCCCTTGGCGGCTTCTGTGTCACGGCGTGACAGCTGCAGCCGTGCCGCGCTCTGGAAGACTTCCTCTCCCGTCCTCTTCGCTCGCCCTCCTGCTACTTGACGCCTTACCCCCGCTATTGGCTCTCACGGGACACACATCCTCTCCGGCTATAAGGCCAACCGCCGATATGCCGTGTTCAGTGCGAATCCCGGGCTTTCCTGTCTGTATCAGTCGCTCTGCAGCGCAGTTCAATGCCTACCTATCACCCCACGGGTTACGGCCAGCATACGACGCACTTTGTCGTTATTTCTGCATTGCTCACTCACCCCCAGCAGTGTGCCGCCGACTCCTGCCAAGGTCCGCGCAGCTTTTCCGCGTGGAACCCCGGCTGTCTGAAAGAGGTGCCAAACATGTGTGTCAAAAATCTCGTTGCAAATGTTCGTCATCTCTGTTTTTGAGATTGGACGAACTGCTATGTAAGAGCAGTAGTGGTGGTGGGGATCCGCAACGATACAGGCGCAAAAAGTAGGTTTAAAAAAAGAAGCAAACACAAGAGAGATGTCATTTACGTAGATGCATCAAACTCAAATCCGATTCAGCGCCTTTTTGTGTATGACAACAAGACGGAATTTTCTCAACCGGAAGCGTCCAGTAGTACCGACTCCGTTGATGAAGCCACAGCGGCCTAGCCATCCGACGTTCGGGGCGTTTCACAGCCACATCACCGGCGGATAGGTCCCAGCCCCAACATCGCTCACAGATGGCATCGCGGGCCCTCAGAATCCCCCCTCTGCCGGGGAAACGACGGATGATATCCTCCGCAGAGATCGAGACATCAGTTCTAATCGTACAAGGTTCTGCCTTTCCCCCACTAACAGGACAACCCCATCAGAAAGTCGTAGGACGCCAGAACTGGGGGCTTTTCGGGCTGACAACAACACTTCACCCCTTTGGGCTTGGTGGCCTTAAATAGGGAGCTTTTCGCGCCGTTTTGTGTATTTCTTGTTCTTCTTTTTGGGGGAGGGGACCAATCAGTTGACAGCCGCTGGTAACCCCGTTGGGTCAGTCTTGAGCATGTCACGGTTTTGCAGCTCTCTTTTCAGCTTTCATGTTCCAGGCAGGCCCAGCCCACGACGGCTCGTTACCTGCCATTCGGTAAAGGCATGGCATAATGCCATGTCACTTCGCCATCAGATGCGCGGGCTGCATGTCTCGTTTTGTTTGTCGGCCTGGCTTCATCTTGTCCGTTATATCGTGGTGTTACAGGCTTCGTGAGCCTGAGGCACTGCGTATCCCGAGTTGACATATTGTCAACTCTCGCCACAGAGGACCCCAAACTATCCATGTCCAAGCTGGAGTCAGCCGCTACAGTCTCATAAAGAGTGATGTTCCTGACGCTGCCAGTATTGTGGTTGCTTTGGTGAGTAAACACTTCGGCAATCCCGCAGACCTCCAATCGGCGTGTTTGATAAGCGTGGAAAAGTTCGCGCTTCGAACGCCACTAACAGCGAGCCGCACGTGGCTGGTTCAGCCCGCGAAAGCCTCCGTATCGTTATACCTGGCCGTTCCCGAAAGGTCGACTGATGCAGAGTGAGCCGCGCAGAACATAATTAGTGCTGGCGCAGGATATCGCATCACGAACTTGGCTTAGCACTGAACGAGACCATTGTCAGTAAGAAGGCGATGGTAGAGAGAGCCACGGCTGCTCGTTAGACTCGAAACCTCAGCCCTTTGCGGCAACCCCGTGGTTTCGTTCGCAACATGGCGTCCGAGGCGCTGGTTACCCGGAAGGGACGATGCGTGTAACCACTTAAGCTTCTCAATGTCTAGTCTTAATCAGGTCTGTAATATGCACAGCATACGGCCGCATGGGAGACTTAGCAACGACTGTTTGTTCGAGATGTCCGATACATTAGACGTTGTAACCCGGTTAGGGGAGAGCCAAAAGCCAAAAAAGGAGCGCAAAAGAACATACAACACCAGGTATTCGCTGGTCGTCACCGACCCAACTACTAATCCGGCCCTCACTGGCTTATCTATGGGAGAGCGGACGGGATCCCGAGTTTTCCAATGGGTATGGTCGTATGTGCTAGACTCAGAGACGCATGAGACTGATATTGTGTGCAAGATAGATAGACGTACATTGGGACGACGAAGAAACTGAGTTTGCAACTTCATCAATGAAGGTAGACCAACGCTGCTTCTTTCAACTTCAAAACGGAACCTATCCCGTTCAAGGTTTTGACTCGAAGGCTCAGCTATTGAAACATTCATTAAGGTGGACTGCGAAGAGAATTTCAAGACTTCATCGTTCTGCCTAGGCGATTAAGATCTCTAGAAGTCTATATGTCATTGAAGGAATAGCATAGCAGTCTAATGAAACGGGCTTCAAAGTCCGCAGTGGTAAGTTCAGAGACTTAGTTATCACATGTAAATGGCCGAGATGGCATACAGTGTAAGTGGGAATACTTCTTAGCTTGAAGCTTTGAGAATAATTTTAGTCGACTTGAGAAGCACATCGTCTCTGTTTCACCTGCAGTCTCTACTACCAATCCTCTAATAGGTATGACATGTTCCATGAACTAAGGCCGTCGCCATCGAACCTCACATCTCGACTGTCGAGAGATGCATGGAGCCGTCCCCGGAAGAGGGGTTTGCGAAAGTGGTCTCCTGCAACCGGCCTCCACGAGTAGAGAGCAGGCGACGTTGGAGGAAGGTCGAAAATAGACATGGACAGCGGACAGATGGAGTGTATTCGTGCCTCTTGTCGGACGGAAGACAGACGATCACAGACGGCAGAAGTGGGTGTCACAGGATCTAGAGTCTGAAGCTGTTGGCGTCAATATTCCATCTCTCTCTAGTCCGATTAGAGGTGCTGTCAGCCTAGAAGAGCTCTAGTCCATCGCACGTATAAGTGCAATTATTATGTGATGGTTGCCAAGTTTCCTGTAGACACGTCACCTCGACAATTCCTGGTTGGTGTCGCTGGCTCAAGACCGTGTCCCTTAATCTACACCGCATGGACGATGATTTAATGGAACATCGTTCGGCCCAACTCTTGTCAAGGTTTGTGATACCATGACTCGGTCGCATCTCCAGTCCGAACTGGTGTTGGTCTCATGTGATGTCTCGATGGCGACGCTCTCTCCCAGCTTCCGGCCCGTGATACCAGCAACCTCCACCAACATCTGGTCAGGTCAATGCTCGCCTAGATCATTGGATGACGGCAACTGATGGTCTGATGAACGTGAAATCATAATCTGATTGTGAATTATTCATGGTAGCGACTATTGTTGGACGTGGAAAGATGCTGTTACTGACATGAAAGATAAACCCGTCAGCTGCTGTGACGTCCGAGCATGACACTCCCTGCGAAGAGCACCAAGCATGGCAAACATCCGAATCCGACTCGAAATATTCATTCGCTACCTTGAAGAGGCCAGAATACCTCTTCTAAGTTTTCTCCCATACATCGCGTTCGATAATTTTCAAGCGGGTACTACCCCTTGGCAGAGTCATAATACCCCGCGTTCAGCTCCCGCGAATGCCCTTTACGAAGATAATCCAAGCTTCTGCTTCTGTACCCGCGGAATGATTCCAATAACCACCAAGAGGGAAGTTACGATGACAGCCCACAATTTCAGCTTGAGAACGTTCTCGTTAAAAGGGGTGTCGGTGGCAGTCGCGACAGTGATGAGGAGGAGTACAAGCACGACATAGCCGCTCCAGCGGTGGTACTTCCAGATGGACTTGGCGTTGTCCTCGCCTCCGTACAGCTTCGGAGTAGCCCACATGGTGAAGCCAACGAGATACTGAAGAAGCAGGATGACGGAGAGGATAACGCCGAAGTAGCCGTGCACGGAGTGGAAATGGGAGCCGGGACCCTGGCGAAACTTGTTGATTTCTATGATGGTGACACCAGCTACGAGGAACAGGAAAGCGAGAAGATTGAGCACGGCGTGTACACGCTGGCCAACGCGCTTCTGGTCCGGTGTATGCGTCGGCTGAAGAGAGAGGATGGACTGAATGAGGGTGAAGATGGCGAGGCTCTGGGCTAGCGGGTGGTAGGAGAAGAAGATGACGTCCTTGGTCAGTACAGCAGCCCAGATCATGGCGACGAGAATGACGGCGCCGAATTGGGCGATAATTCCGGTGCCTGGCGATGTTGGGTCAGCAGCGTCCCTGGGATCGGCGATGCGACAGCGGTAACATACCGAGAACGAGGTTTGTTGCGATCAGCTTGCCGGATGGTTGCTGGGCATCGCCGGGGCGTCCAAGCAGAGGCTCCAGCTCGCCATGGCCGTGACCGCGATGGCCATTAGCCGGAGGTGGTTCTGGGAGTCCCGTGGCAGAAGACATGGCTTGTTTGCTGTGACTTTGTCGATCTTTTTTTCTTGCGAACTGGGTTCGAAACAGTCGTATCTTACAGGAATCTGAAGATGTGAGGGTTGGCGTTGAAGAGTCAGAGCGAACTGAGCCGCCGCAGAGAAAGGGAGCAATTTATTTACCTGTGCGTGCGACGCAGCACCCCGAGTTTGGAAGGAGGGAAGAAAAAAAGGCGAGAAACAACGGCGTGTCGGTGTCGGGTACATAGCGCAGGAGGTCATCGCTATGGCGGCATCGATGACGGAGAGCTGTCTCGAGCTCCGGCCTATCGGAGTCGTTGTATTTCTGATTGAATAGCGAACGGCAGGGGGGTCTTCGCACGGAATGGTGGGGTAGTTGGGGCTGCACCTGAAATGGCATGTACCTACGGTACCTAACCTACAGGGAAGGGATTACCACACGGCATCTACCTAACCTGGAACGCAACTATCTACCTCATCTATGTAGGTACCTAGGGAGGTAATGCTGCCACCTCCAATGGAACTGACGACCGCGTCAGTGTTGCTTGTGCGCTGCAGAAATCGTGTCTCACGTGGATCCCTGGCGTATTCTTTCTTGCTTTTTGCTCTTCATCTTTCCTGCCAGGCTAGGTATGGGACGTGACAACAGCGAGTTCGCATACCACTTGCATGGCATGGCGTGCTCGGGACTGTCGAGAGACTGTTGCACCTACGAACGTTAAAACCAAACAGCCAATGAAGCAAAAGCGATCAAAAAGATAAGGTCGTGCCTGGTCCCGGGTTCGAACCGGGATTACCGGAAGACAGATTGATTCCAGGCCGGTCAAGATTCGGCTGAGAATTCGTGTTAGTCAGTGAGCATCGGATTCTGCAGCGACAGAGCGAGCTTACAGCGATCACTACCTACCTAGGTACCTAGGTATGTATGTACGTGTCATCCATTGTGACGGGAAAAGAAGAGTGAGTGGAAAGGGACCAATAAGGTAGGCAAGCACCGTCGCTGGTGGTGGACCGCGACAGCCGCGCTACACGACGTGCAGCCCGTAGCCGAAGACGTGTGGATCTTACGAAACCATAAGGTGATTCATTCACCTTATGAAGACTACCCGCAGAAACTATAAGGTGAAGGAATCACCTTATGATGACCACACCCCGGGAATCCATATGGTGATGGATTCACCTTATGGACGCGGTTGATGTTATCCTTACATTGCTTGCTGCGACATCGCTCCCCCACGCCAGCATATGGACCTTACGAAACCATCAGGTGAATCAATCACCTTATGAAAGACCGGGCCCCGGGAAACCATAAGGTGAAGGAAACACCTGATGAGAAACTTTGGCGCAGTCCTTATCAGATCGTCTTGAGCAGGGCTATCGATGTCTTGGGGGAGTGAGAGTTCCATGAGACAGACTGCCCAGCAAAGCATACTGCGTACACTGGAACTCAACGAGAGCTTCCATTTACAGACGTAGATAACTCACCTGAAGCCTAAAACTCAAGTCAGGGACAAAAGACGGAAGGCCTTCCGAGTACCTACCTCACTTACCCCAGTATCGGTGATGAGCCTCTTCTCCGTGCTGGTCCAGTAGTCCCCCGCCGCCGCCGACGACCCGACCGACGGGATTGAACAGCGGGGACGGGGACCGCAACTGTGGCATGCGGGGAAGTGAAGTGTCGCAGATTGGCCACGGCTCAATGTTAGCTAATTCGCTCGAATCATTACGCCTTTCCTTATCGCCGCGCTTCTGGCCGCCGGCGACTCTCAGGTTCTCAACGCGGCCGTCACCTCAGCCATGGCCGCCCGACGTCGGAATTGGCCGCCTTCGCTTCGGGTCACCTAAAGGCCAGTGGGAGGTTCTCGGAGAAACAAGCCATGACTCCCCCACGACCTTTCATCTCTCCTCATCAGAGGGCGGTTTTTGGCACATTCTTTGACCACATATTTATAGGCACTATTGGCTCCCGGTGACTGTGTCGTGTTCACTTCTCTCCTCTCTCTTCTCTGAGCCTCTGTTACAAGTCTCTGATCGAACACGTCGAGTCTCATCCGAACCCCTCATTTACCCCTCCACCCCTCCGCCCCTCTCTCTCAACAGCAGCCCTCACCATGGCGAGTGAACAGGAGTACACTCTTGAGCAGGTCAAGTCGACCCGAATTGCCTCGGAGGAGATCGACCAGACCTTCCGCTCGAGCAGCATTGGTGAGTTATCTCGCTCCCCCGCCTGAGGTGCTCCGCAACCAGGACAAGAGCATGCATGAAAGAACCATTGCGAGTCCAAGACTGACACGGCACAGATCTCATCTCCGCTGCCCTGGGTGGGAAGATTCTGGCATTCTCGGATGAGTGGTTCGCTGAGGCATCCAATCTGTTGACGCCAACGCCTCCCATCAGGCAACCGGGTAAGATGGTCTACACCGGTGCCTGGTACGACGGCTGGGAAACAAGACGTCACAACACCGAACCTTTCGACTGGGTTGTCGTCCGCCTGGGCGTTGCTTCGGGAACCGTCGAGGGTATCGAGGTCGACACAGCCTTCTTCAGCGGCAATCACGCCCCCTCAATCTCGGTCGAGGGATGCTTCAACCTGAACGACGATGAGGTTGTCTCATGGAAAGGCGGCAGGGGACAGTGGGAGACCATTCTCGGCAACGAGGAGTGCGGGCCATCCAAGCGCTTCGCATGGAAGCTGGCCGAGCCTAAGCAGAAGCAGTACACTCACGTGCGTCTGAACATGTATCCCGACGGTGGTATCGCCAGATTCCGTCTCTTCGGACACGCCGTGCCTGTCTTCCCCGAGGACAAGGAGGCCATTTTCGACCTTGCGGCGGCACAGAACGGTGGTGTCGCCATTTCGTGTAGTGACCAGCACTTTGGAACCAAGGACAACCTCTTACTGCCGGGCCGCGGCAAGGACATGGGCGACGGATGGGAGACTGCGAGGTCGCGCGGCAAGGATCACGTGGATTGGACCATTGTCCGGCTCGGCGCGCCCGGCTACGTGCAGAACGTGGTGGTCGACACGGCGCACTTTCGCGGCAACTTCCCGCAGAAGGTCAAGATCGATGCTCTCGAGTGGAAGCAGAACGACGAGCCGGGAGCGGATGCCGAGGGCTGGGCCGAGATCGTGGCGCCGAGCAAGACGGGGCCGGATCAGGAGCACGACTTCCCCAGCGCGGTCAAGGACAAGGCCGTGACGCACGTGAAGATCACCATTATTCCGGACGGAGGTGTCAAGAGACTGCGTGTGTTTGGCAAGAGAGCGTGAGTGTCGTTGGCATGTTTTATTGGCGTCTTTTTTGCATAAAGTCCCTGGTATTGACCCCCCCTATGTCTGGGAAGATTATAGTGTGTATAAACATGGAACAGTCGAGCCAACAAAAAAAGGGGGTTTAAATAAACAGAAAAGAAATCATTCATCGCACATTAAAATACTGCCAATTGAAAACGAATAGGACATACTGTCCAGGGCCTTCCCTGCCATTTCCATTTTTCAATCTACGGCCTAATCACGGAGAACCTCAGTTGAAGCATACCGTGCGGTTGGTGCTATGAGGTAAGGAAGGTATGGAAGATGCAACTGCCCGGGCCGTTTCCAGGTTCACTGTTGACGCAGTACCTTAGCGCACGGCCCGCAGTCACTTACCCCCAGTACCCAGCCCGGCCTCCCAGCGCAAGAGGCAGCGCCGTGAGTGCCCGCCGTAATTAATTAGTGACATCAACAAGCGGATGCACCTCACTCAGTGTCGTCGACCTTCATCTGCCCTGCCTGTTGTGAGGGTTCCGTTGGCGTGGCCGTTGCGGGACTTGGACTCCGGATGCCGAGGTGGGTGCCTACCTACTAGGTAGGTAGGTAATTACATGTATGCCCAGGTCCAGCACCCACATTCAAACCCGACCGCACCGCCGCACCGCACCGCACCGCACCGCGCACACACACACCACCCTTTGCACACATAACCAGAGAGTCTGACTACCTCAGCCGGGTCAGGGACACATTGACATCACACGACCTTCGACAACGCCGAGCCTCTCCAGCGCCGTCCCCGTGGAGTAGGTGAGGTATCGTATCGAACGTAATACCTCACATCCACCCGACATCACCATCGACGATAACCCACGGCGCCACATCCGACGACACGAAACCCAACGACACATTCCTTGTTGTACCCCCCCTTTGCTACATACCCTCTTAGCTCACCCCAAAACGACCTTGCCTCCAAGACGAGACTTTCCGTGCGCTGTCCGCCAAAACATCATTCCACATCGCATCGAATCGCGCATCGCATAAATCAATATCCCCGTCCGACTAATGCCTACCGGGCCTCTTGCGTGCCCCTCCTCCCACCATGGACTTCGGGGACGTTAACGGTGGATTCGGCGACGAACAGAAGCCTCGCCCTCTGCCATCCGACCTGCCCAAGTCCCTCGACGATCGCAGTCATCGTCCTCGCGAGCTGGTACCGGAGACGGAAATGTACGATGGTTGGCAGGGTGCGTCGCTGTCCCCCCCCCTCCTCATCCTCCACCTGCCGTGGCTTGGCCACATCAATAACTCCTTACTGACGCCCAGCATTCAGGACAATCGCAGTTTCTGACCTCACCTGTTCTTGCAAAGCCCCTCAACTTTGGCAACTTGAGCTTAGATGATTCCACCTACGATGAGGACATCACCACGGTCCCGAAGAACAGCGACGCACGATTAATGGAAATGCTCGCTGCCCAAGCCGCCCACCGGGTTGGCCCGGGCTTCGACGACGAAAAAACAATACTGGCGGACGAGAAGCTCTCTGACGACGAAAAGAAGGACTTACTGCAAAAGGCTCTTCATATGGCTGCGAGCAATGGCGACACCGAGAGAATCAGCAGCATCCTGGGCGGAAAAGCAAAGGAATACGTCGACATAAATGCGCCGGACGAAGACGGAACGCCCCCGCTCATCTACGCAAGCTGCTTCGTGAGTAACTGCACTCGGCGCCGGGGCGCAAACGCTGATTTGGGGTTTAACAGGGTCACGAAAGCGTGGTGAAGGCGCTCATCGATGCTGGTGCGGATGTCGACAAGCAGGATCGGAACCAGTGGAGCGCTCTCATGTGGGCGATGACGAACCGGCATAAGAGTATAGCCAAGATACTTCTCGACCACGGAGCATCGGCCGAACAAAAGACCTCGTCTGGCAGAACTGCCTTCGACTTCGTGCCTCCGGACAGTGACATGTCCTTCTATCTACACGACAGTGGCTATAACATAGGCAATGCCGGAACAGACGACTTTTACAACCCTGGTTTCTCCCAAGATCGTTTCGAAGAAGAAATGGCCGAGAATGAGCTGCGGAGGCGAATGATGATGGACAGCGCTCGTGATCTCGAAGTCGACCTGGGCAATGTGGGCATGGACGATCAGCCGGAGGTACGTTTGGAGATCTTTCCCGGAAATCAGAAAACTGACGCTTTCAGGCTACCGACGAGTTCGAAGAAGAACAGCCAGAGTTCGACTGGTCTCGCTGCTTGCACGACCAAATGTTCGTTTTCCAGGAACACGAACTCGATCGCATTCTAGACATCGTCATTACCAACATGACACCGCAACGTTCGCCCGCACAGAAACCCGTACCGGCGAACATGATATTTTTGAGTGCGAGATACGCGCACTACCACTCCAGTCCCGACTTGCTGGCCAAGCTGATGATATCAGCCATGGACAAGATTAACGATGTTGTTGAACAGTATCAATGGGACATGACCATACTTGCTTTCTGGATATCAAACGCCACCTTGCTCCTCCATTACCTCAAGAAAGACGCCGGGCTGGTGGAAGCTACAGTTCAGTTCCAAGTTCAGCTCTCGGAGCTGATCAACGAGATCTTCATTCTCATTGTGCGGGACGCTGAGAGACGCCTAGACAAGGTCCTCGATGCTGCCATGCTAGATCATGAGACGATTGCCGGCTTCGAGGACATTGCCTTCCAAAACGAATGGAGGTTATTCAAGCGGAAAGCTCAAGTCAAGGAGGAGCCGCTGGAAAAGCGCTTCCGACCGCCATCTCCGAAACAGAGGGCGAAACCCGCTCCGCGCAACGTCACTTCTCTGCTGTCATCGACTTTGTTCGTGCTTGATCTTTATGATATCCATTCGGTTATTACGGCGCAAATCATTTCCCAGCTTCTATACTGGCTCGGCGCAGAGCTATTCAACCGCATCATGTCAAACCGAAAGTACCTTGCTCGGACAAAAGCAATGCAGATTCGAATGAACGTCTCGACGTTGGAGGACTGGGCGAGGACCAACAACCGACAACCCGAGCACTACGAAGGGGGAGAGACCAAGTCGTCCGGCGAGACAACGGTAGATGCAGCCAGGCGGCACCTGGCGCCCGTGATTCAGCTGTTGAAATGGCTTCAATGCTTTTCCTCGCTCGGCGCGGACGATCTCGAGGCCCTCGTGGGCACCCTGCAACAGCTTAAGAGACTGAGCCCACAGCAACTCATTCACGTAGCATCACATTACAGACCTGAAGTCGGCGAGAAGGGACTCCCCAAGAGCGCGCTGAAGTACCTCAATGCGATCCAGGCGGAGCATGTGCGCCGAAAGGAGGATCGCAAGAGCGCTCCCTCCACGCCGGTCAAGGCCAAAGATGTTAACGGTGGCAACACAGACAGCCCAGGCGGCAAGGCGACGAAGACGCCAGGCGGAGACGAGAGCGAAGAGGAAGAGGACGCGCCAGAGAACCTCCTCATGGACCCGGCGCTGATGCTTCCATTTACGCTGCCCTCAGTGACCGACATGTTGGTCTCTTATGGAGCAGGCTTTGGAGGCGTTAACAAAGAGCGGGCGCGTAAATACATTCCGTCCGTACCGCAGGAGTTTCTGTCCAGACTCGAGGCTAGCGGCGCACGCAACGGGCCGATGTTTAGTGAGAAGGACTGGGAAAACGAGGAAGTCTGAACACGCTATTCGATACCAGCCGTCTTGGCCTCGGGAGTGGAGGAATGGTCGCGGTCATGGTGTAAGATGGAGCGTCTCTCTCTCGGCGTGAGAAAGACCCGCTCGAGCAGACACCAGACAGAGACATGGTGCTGCGAGCCTGTCCGTGGTAGGTAGTGATCAATGGGAAACCGTCAACGAGCATAGCGATTGATTTGACAGCATACAAAGCTGGGTCACAGCGCGGTTGCAAGAGGCAATGGGAATGGGCATGAGGCGCCGGGTATCGCAGACCTGCTCATTGGACGCGGCATAAACGGGCACACATGTTGTGGTTTATATCAAAACCTTGTCTCAGTCAGGGCAAAAGTCACGAGAGGGGAAAGAAACGCAGCGATGCGGTGGGCGGGTGGGTGCTTGTAGTTGTATTTCAGAGCAGAGCAGCCTGGCCACGAGACCAAAAGAGGGAGACGGGTCCGCTCGATCTATACCCTACCCAATACACCAATGCGATTTGGATCTCTTCCAAATTGGCTGTTCACGACATGGTTGACTCGCACCAAGTTAAAGTACCGCTCTGTGGCCCTATGGTTCCAGAATGGATCCCGTTTGCCCACGAGGGTTTGTTCTAGGGCAGAGCGGAGGTGGAGGGGAAGAAGGCGATGGCGCGTTCTCTCGGCATTCTCTCCCCTCCACCTGCGCCGTGCCTAAAGACCACGTTTTGATGAAGTGTGACACGTACATGAAGTGGTGAGTCGTGGTGTCTCGGCTTTGTTTACGGCTGTACGCCCGCTCGCGTCTGCCTCTCTTCTTAGGTCAGCCTTCTTCTCTTTCCTCTTTACCATGATATCGACCACGAGTGGAGAGAGAAACATCGTTAACAATTAGGGCCCATTTTTCGGCTGGTGGAACGACCCGAGGACGTGGGAGGACAGAGAGGGAGGAGGATGTGGAGAGAAACCGGTGGAGGTGTGGTGGTTCAGAACTCCAGCCAACCGAACCCAATGCGGCGGCCCTCTCAGGTCGGAGGATTTCCGATCCAAACCGTCAGGGTCTTGGCCAGGGTAGACACTGCCACGTCAGATGGTTCCGGCTTCCTGAGGCCTTACCCAAGTGGCAGTCACCGTCGCGGAATACAACGCAAACGAACAGCGACGAGCGCCAGTGGTCCAGTCCAGGCCGTTTCAACGCTCCGGGAACGCGCAGGTGGTGTTTCGTTTGCTATGCTTTGTGGTCACCGGGAGGGAGGGCTGACGACTGAGATGGATTGCGCGACTAAAAGGGGGGGAGAAAAAAACAAGAAAAAAAAAGGCAACTTTTACAGGTATTGGAAAACCATTGAAGCTTTCTACACGTGCGAATGGATTATGGTAAGGTTTACTTTTTGCGGGATGATGGCCTCTGGGTTGAGTTAGATAGATGTCGCTCTGGTTCGCCTCGGCCGATCTCACCCGGGAGCTCGTGGTGACAGACGAACTACTGGACCATGAACTACACTGACCGGGGCTCTATGCTGTTTTGGGGGGGGGGGGGGGGGTTTTAGGCCCCATTAACCCAAACAAGTGCGTGTGTTGAGGGTTATAGAAAAAGC